ATTAGGCTCATTCTTTTCTTACTAATTCTCCTCTATGGGAGCTCAAGTAGGATCCATACTGTATGATTCTCTAGCCGTTTTACACTAGAGCCTGCCACCAGAAGGTTTCTGCTCCTCATATTTCCATACCAGGAACCAATCTTTCTGACAGAACAGCCTTTGGGAGGTAAAAATCACATCCATATTAGGGAACTCACTGTTGTGGACTTAGGTTCTAGATCAATGCTAAAATAAATTTGATTACCCACAGCAGCATCTACATACATTTGAAAAAGCCGGACATTCAATGTCAAGTTACTTGATCTATCAAAAGTAGCCAGGGCCTCCAGGGATGGACAATTCTCGGCAGGAACTGTCTCCTTGGATGGCCATGCAGAGACCTACAGCAGCCTGTCTCTTGTAGGTAAAGAAGCTGAGATTCAGGAAGAGTAGCATCCTTTGCATGCTCACAGGAAGTCGGCTGCAAAACTAGTCTGGAACAGGAATAGTGGGACTCTGACTGTGTTTAGGGTTTAGTAGTGACCCCCAGCCAGTAGAAAGTCACAAATCATTACAGTCACTTCCGTTTGCACATTGCCTTGTGCTCTTTGCAAGAGTGGGTGGCCACACCCACTCTTTGCAAGGGGGGGTCTGTCCTAACACCGAGACACAGGTAGCTGCGGTGCAAGTTCTTGTAGAACTGATTGATAATGGCCGCTTCTCTGGCTCTGAACTCCAAATCCTTCTGCGTTAGCCTCCCAACGGCTGGGAGTGTGGGGATGTGCCACCATGCCTGACTTAGCAGCCTTTGGAAGATAAATTTGCATTTAAAATACTTGGTTAGATGTAGATTGATAAAGAGGAAAGGAACATACGACATCGAAAGGACTGCACCAAAATGTTGCCGAGATGCTTGCCAGCTATGTGACCTAAGGGAAATCACATGACCTTCTAGCTCTGGGAGGGGGGGGGGGAGGGTGCTCATATATTATGCTTATAGAACTAATAAAATTATGTGTGTGAGAGCCTGCCAAATTATTTTCCTAGAATTATTTTCTGAAATTTTGGACTTTAAGGAATGCAGACATTAGAGATTTTGGTATTTGAGGATTTCAATATAGGGAATTGTGGTTTGGGGGGTAGCGGGTCCTCACTGTATTAACAACCTTCCTATTGCTGTGATAAAACACCATGACCCAGGCCACTTATAGAAGCAACAATGTTGCTTCAGGGATGGTTTCAGGGGAATGAGTCCATCCTGGTGGGGCCACATTGTACCAGGCGTCAATCAAGGTGGCCAGAGCAGCAGAGAGCTTCCTTCTTGGTGCATACGCCCCCTTTGCTGTTGCTAGAAGGGAAATTCTGTGTGTGCGAAAGAAGAAACGCAATAAGAAGCGAGAGGAGAGGGGCGTTCACAATTAAATATGAGTGTCGTTGCCTTTGGTGGAACTGAGGCTTTGCTGAAGTAAGAGATGAGTCCCAAGACACATATGTTACCCCATAGCAACAATGAAACCAGAAATGGTCTTTGCAGAGGCTTGTGAAAAACAGCCAACATAAACAGCCCTTCCTAGCTCTGGTCTTTGTGCTACAATCTGAAAGTTTTCATGTGTTTCTCTTGACAAAACGCCGTTTTATTCCTTGAAGCAACTCTTTCCAATGACATCCACTGGCATGTGGTATAGATTCTGTGAAAGCTTGCAGGGTGCCAGGAAGGGTGGAGGAGAGAGTGGGGGCATCATGCACGCTCAACAGTCACGTCTCAAAGAAGAATTGGATTAAGATCACTCCAAAAAGCGTCTTTTGTTTCCTTCTCTCCGCAACACTCCAGGCCACAGCTTCCTGCCTGCCTTTCATTTTTCAATCCCCCTGCTTGGATCACACAATGTTCCTGGCACAGTGTGAATGACTTTTCTCATCCTCCCCTCACACCAGGCTTGGGTTCTATCATCTGTGGCTGTCAAAGCAGCCCCTCTGAGGTGAAGTAGCGAAGCTCGCAGGGCATTGCCCTGTGGCTGACCCAGCAGGGTGTAAACCTTCCACCCAGGGAACTAAGCATGTTCCACTGTTCTTGGCTTTCATGGCCTCATACCCATCTTTCTTTCCTGAGTACTACCCCAACCATCTCAGACCCCCCCGAATGTCTTCTGCCCAGACTCACTCAACAAATATTCACTCACCTTTTTGAAGCCTTAGCCATTCTAAAAATAGAGGACGTCTCAGATTCCATTGATGTGGACCTGACATAAACAAAGCTCAGCATTGACCTACTTCCCATTTTTTGTAACTGTCCTTTCCGTATGGTAACTACGCTCTTGCCTGTCTGTGTAGCCAGTGCTCCTAGTGTTACCTGGATTGATTACTCCCTATCTTCCATCTGTTTCTGGAAGAAAAGCATTTGATCAGCAAATCCACAGAGATACACTACTGGTTATTAGTTGATGTATGTGCCCATCACAAGGATAGTTTCTGAGAAAAGATGATGGGGCCAATGTAAATGAGATCATCCCAGCTGTAGAATTGGACACTAAGTAAAATGGGGAGAGTATTTCCACACAGATTGTTCTAGTGACTCCTGCCTACTGCCATGGAACCAAGAGCTGGGAAACCCTTGTGCCCGGGATCCTCAAGAGCCTCAGAACAAAATCCATCATGTCCCCAAGGCATGTGTCCATTGACACCATAAGAAATCCAGTCAGGTCATTTCCAGCTACTTGGCCATCATCACAAATTCTGAGATCGCTGATGTCACCACACTGATAACAACCTGAATCAAACTTACCACACTGGCTGGCATCCATCATCATCAAACTCCCCTACTCCTGAGCCTGGCTCAGTCGTTGCTCATCCTGTCAGTGTGTTTTATCTCCTCTCTTCTGCCAGAAAGGGATCCTGTTTGGTCCTGTCTCTACTCCCCTTTTATTTTAATTCTTCCCTCCTTAAGCTCTATCTCTCATTGGAAGCCATGTTGTCATGGACTTTTCTTCCTCACTGGCTTCCTCTGAAGGCCTCTGAGACACCCAGTCTTCAGAGACTTTGACCGCAGACTCTCTGTTTTCCATTAAACACCCCAAGCCCATCATAGTATTTGATGATCTCCATATCTATGTGGAGGGCACCATCTCTGGGATTTTACATTCTGGGCCTTCTTTCCAGAGATCTTCTTCTCTCTATCTTAACTGCACACGGGCCGGGCCCTTGTAAATGGCCACTCAATGTCACTCCCTAAGCTTTATTCTTACCGCCATGTCTCATCTCTTCAGCTCTCTCCCTCCAGTCCTGAGTCTGGCAATTCCTCACCTTAAACACCAGCTCTTGGATCATGGCATCTTTTCCACAGAGCCACAGTCTCCAGATCCCATGTCTGTTCCCATCCTTCCTAGACTCCACAATGTCTTGTTGCAATCCTGGGCTACCATGCCCATCCCTGTCCAGTGTCACCACATTGTGCTGCTCTCTGGTCTTCTCTCTGCCTTGTGATACGATCTGACCTGTGCTTCTATCAAAGACCAAACACACAGATGCACACACACGGACAGACAGACAGTTACACACACACACGCACACAAGAACACATGTATGTATGCACACAGTCACATGACCTTGGACCTTACTGTAAATCGATCTTTCTTCCTTCTTTTATGTTTTCTCCTAAATCTACTCCTATAGTGTGCACAACAGCGCCCCCAAATACGCAATGTCCTGTCAGGGTTCGGGGTGACCTGGCCACCCTGCCACAGCCATGCTGGTCTCACAGTCCTTGTCTTCTTGGTTTGCCAGTCAGGCTGGGCTGGTTTCTAGGGTACCCCCCCCAATTCATCTTCTTTTCTCCTGACCCCTAAATAACACGGGGTGTGAGGCAGGCATCCTTGTCTCTCTTTGCATTAATTCCCTTGGTTATCTCATACAGTTTCAAGTGTCAAATGCCATCTCTAAGCTGATGTCCCAGATGTCCTCGGGAGTATTTATCATTTCCCGCAGGTCTCTCCAAAGCTATGCTAATAAGATATGAGTCCCTACCCCACCATCCTACGTCCTCTCCCTACTCCCATTACTCTATGTCTTTACTCTGATTTGCTTTTATACAACTGCACTTATTTGTATACATATTGCCTGTTGGAAACAAAAGCCATTATTGACTTCATAGTGTATTGCACAGAGAAAGGTACCAAGTGATGCTTGCTGACCAAAGCCATGATTTCATTCAGCCTTGAAAATCCCCCAATGATCCTGTTAGAGAGCTTATTACAGATGAAGAAGCAGAAGAGAGTTACCCATTGCCATGGAGCTGGCAATGCAGGTGGCCTTGTAGTAGTCGAGTGCATATCACTCAGCAGCCACAAAGGACTAGGGGATCAGACCATTGGGCACTTTTCACTAGGTGCAGAGAACTCAGTGTTGGGGCAACAGAGAAGCATTGAAGGGCAGGGGTGAGAGGTGGGAGGCTGGAGAGTGACCTGGCTTTGGTAAGGAGCTGACTTCATTCAAAATTAAACATCTCTGCCCATTTCCGGTCCCCTCATCACTCAGCCATGTGCAATCTCTTGGGTCTACTTTGGTGCCTCATTACAAGTTGACTAATGGCATATTTTATGTTTTGCTATCATTGGAGTATCATCTACTGATAGTTAAGAATCATGTAAAACTCTCCAAACCAAGTTTTCTTTGAGATCTATAACATAAGAACTATCTTGATGTTTCTATGTCTGCCTGTGAGTTGGCATAATCCCTAAAGAAACTTATTCGTTAATACCAGAGACCCATTTACTATGCCATGACTCGCTAAATATACTAGCAAAATACTAAACTAATTGAAGGGCATGCTATAGTTCCAGCTGTAGTTACTTTAAAATACCCATATTTAAAATAATTGACTTCTTTAGAGTTTGTACTCTGTGAATTCCATACATTGGGTCATGAGTTTAAGTGATATTTCCATGTACATGATAGATGTTGTGGGTGAATAGGTAAAAGTGGGTAACATTTCTATGGTGTAATGAACTGCTGTTTTCTGTTAAAAGGGATCCAGCTGTTCACCCTCCAATACCTCCCAAACCCTGTTCTCCCATTGCGTCTCCTAAACAACTGAGACGGAATAATAGGTAAGAACTTGCCCTTCCGAGTGTCTTGCCAGGACATTGAAGGGAAATGACAGTAAAGGATTTATGAATGGCTTTGTGCAAAGCATGGCTGTGCTTTCTGTGTACATTCACTAATGCAAGGCTCACAGAACTTCTAATTCTGTGTGTATATGTAATTACTTTTGCTTAGAATAGTGATGGCTATTACCTGTGTTAGGGAACTGTATCTTTGAAACAGCCGTGGACAGTGGAATTGGAAGAGTTTGGATGAAGTTTCTTATATATTAGCACCCGATTTAAATGAATTCTCATGCCTATTAAATATACACCACATTAAACAACATATAAGAATATATTTCATTTCCATTGTCTTGCAGTTAAGCTTCTCATTAAGAGCTATATGTTGTGATAAGGAATATTCTTACAGCTTTGTGTTACTACTCAAGCCTTCAGTTATGCTAGAGAAACCTTTAGGATGTTCCTTGATTGTTTTTCAACTAAAGCATTTTTGATTTATATCAAAACTGTCATAATTATTGAAGAAAAGTCCAAATAACTGATCTCCACATCGGGAAAAACCCACGTTCTTTACCACTTTGAACGTTTGTCACTCTGTAATTAATACTTACAAACACATTCGGAGGTTTGACAGTTCCTCTGTGTCTGTGTTACATAGTTTGATACTCTTGAACTACTTTTCAAGATGGATGTGCCATTTTTTCATTAGCGTCGTCAGGATAAATCCCAGTGTCTCAGTGGAGACTGAGCATGTCAGATCTGCCTGAATGCCTGCTGATACTGCTTTTGTGATTTTTGCCTCTTGAGGGGGATTTTTGATGCCATGTAAGATGCAATTATAGGACTGTTATTCTAAGTCACAATTATAGAATCATTTTTTAAACAAGAGGGTAACCTGCTAGAGAGTACTGACGAAAGAATTGGTGTGTGTGGCACCATGGTTCATCCTTAGCGGGGTAAAACCCCAGAGCTGAACTTCTACCCACAAAATCCCTCCAGATCCCTGGAATTTTGTCCTTAGGATATTGCTTTAATGAGTCAGGAGAATAGTTTTTCACTGAACTAATTAATGATATGGATTAGTTTTATAACTTTTCATTTTTGCAGTGATTATAATTATCTCATAAGAGCAATATCTCGAGTTTCCTGTCTTACCTGATTGGTCCTCTTAGTCTTATAGTGTTAAGAAATTAAGCCATAATTAGAACAGATTTTTTTTTAAGGTGGTTCCTTTACCACCTAAGTTCTGTTCTAAAACCATTGACACCAGAGGGTGGCACATGTTTTATATTCAGAAAAGGCTCAATTCCATAGGAATTGGTCAAATCCACTTTTTACTGTTCTTTCTACCTTCCAGTAATGATCCAAAAAATAAAATTGGGACAACATGCATGTTTTTAAAACCCTGATTACTTTAATCACAGCGTGGTGATTTTAATGAAAGAGTATGAAAGGGAAGTAATTAACACATGTCCTCAGGAGAACAAAAAATAGTTGAATATAGCTTCTTGAGAATAAGCAAGAATATATAAGTAGGTCAAGCACAGTCTAAGGAAAAGAGAGAAGTCTTATGAATTCTGACAGCCTAGCATTGTACAATTTACTACTGTTGGTTCAATGTTGCCCTTCTTGGTGTGGTAGACATATTTGAAATGCAACCTTATTTCTGTCTTATCTGAGCAAATACATTTCTTGGTAGTATTCATATGTAGTAAGTCTTGAATGAAAAGTATCATTTTGGCACCCAACAACGAAAATGTTCTTCATATTTAAAATGTTATATAATTATTTAATAGAGTTAGAGACAAAACACTTTGATGAATGGAAATAAAATGAACAATGTCTAGATCAGACATGACTAAATGTACCTCATGGTTTAAAATATATGAAAAGCAGTTGATGTAATAATATTAGCACCTTGTGCTTTTTAGACATTCACAAAGGGGGATGGTTGAATTTTAGCCAATACAAAAAAAAAAAAAAAAACTAAGGTAAATTTTTTTTGTCAATAATATTTATATTTCTGACCACAATGTATTCTCATATATATATATATATATATATATATATATATATATATATATATAATTTAACATTAAAGAGTTTCTTACCTAACACGTATTATTTTTAAAAATCTAGGCAGATACATGTAACTACAGCCGGTGCATACGAAGAAGCCAATAGACATGCTGAAAAGAATATAAGGTACAGACATCCCTGTCTACGTGTGTGTAATTGTACCAGTGGTAAAGCATGCTTTGTTGGAGTCCTTTCAAATAATAAATTGGATAAAATCAGTCTTCTAGTCAACTTCAGCTAAAATAAGTGCACTGTTTGTTTTTGAGACAGGGTTTCAATATGTGCCCCTAGCTGCCCTGGAACTTGCTATGTGCATAAGGCCAGTCTCCATTTTACAGAGGTCTTTCTGCCTCTACCTCCAGAGTGTTGGTATTAAAGTGTGGCACCATGCCTGGCTAGGTAATTCATGCTTTTATAGGTTCTTGTTCTTTAAATTTGTCTTAAGATTTACATTGGGGATCCAAAATTGTCTGAACATAAGGACAGGATGAGATGAAACCCCTTGAAGGAAGGAGGCTTGCTTGTCTCTGCATTTCCTGTATTTGCTTCAAGATAACTAACTGTTGCTGGGGTGGGGGGAGGATAAATGATCAAGATATAGGCCACTGTTGATGCGTGGGCATGAATGATCAAGGGGAAATAGTTTTGCTTAGCTGACTTGTACTACAAAAGGTTCTGGTTGTAGCAGTTGTGCTCAGCCTGTCCTGAAGCTCACCCATCTTGTGGATTAATTTGGTAAGGAGGTATTTCCCCATGGTCCTGATTCACACCTGTTTTGCACATCCTATCTAGGTTAGCATTCGTTTTGGATATGTTTTGTTTGTATACCTCCTTCGTCTTTATTACTTAGGAAAGATAATGGCTTATTTTGTACTCTGTATAATGTTATTTGATGTGCAATTTTAAGGCTGACTGACGATTTGGTATTGGATAACCAATTGGTGTACTCTTCCCTATGGAGGACAATGGAGCAAGGGATAGTGTGGAGGGAGGAAAGGGGGGAAGGAAATGATGTAATTACATTGTAATCTAAGAAACTATTCTGGGGGGGAGTCTCATCTAATGGATGAACCATCTCTCCAGTCCTGATTTTTTTCTTTTATAAAACAAAATGGCCAGGAAGTGACGGCACATGCTTTTAATCCCAGCACTTGGGAAGCAGAGGCAGGCAGATCTCTGTGAGTTCAAGGCTAGCATGGGCTACAGAGTGAGTTTCAGGATAGCCTCCAAAGCTACACAGAGAAACCCTGTCTCAAAAAAACAAAAAACTTAAAAATTATGACATTACTATTTCATAGTTCCATCGGTATAATAAGTGAAATAATGACAAAGTTGTTTCCCAAAGTAAAATTTCTTTTGTGTTGTCCTTTTGACTCTCAGAAGAGCCCTGCTTTGAAGCACAGAGCACACATACACCTTAGACTTGAAAAGAATCTGACTTCCCTGTCCTTACACATTTTTGTGGAACCTTTATCACCTCCCACATTGTGTTGCATGTGTCAAGTGATGCCTGTGCATCTTCTGTGAGAGTTTGATGGTCCAGTCCACCGAAGGGAAGGAAGTCAGTGGCAATGAAGGATGCTAGTGTCTGTGTCTCCCATGAGTGGCGATGATGGGACCAAGTCATGATTCCATTACACTCACCACTCCTGACTGTGGACCACACTTTCTTTCCTTCACCAGGAATTCTAGGAAGTTTGGCTCCAACGGTCTCTCTCCATCCCCACTGACCCTGCTTCTCTTTCTGTTCTTTGAAGGGCCAAGGATCTCGATGACATCATCAGAGTGGCTGCTTCACTTCAGAAAACTGACAAGGGGTGAGATCCCAAAGCTCTCAAACTTGCTTTCCCATCATTTTTGTGTCTAAAAGCTAGTCACTGTCCGTCTGTCCCTGTCATTTCTAAACATGAGCCAATCCCCAGTGCTGCTTGTAGTATGTATATAACTAAGGAGAAGGAGGAGGAGGAGGAAGAGGAGAAGGAGAAGGATAAAGAGAAGAAGAAGAGGAAGAAGAAGAAGAAGAAGAAGAAGAAGAAGAAGAAGAAGAAGAAGAAGAAGAAGAAGAAGAAGAAGAAGTAGAAGAAGAGCCCTTTCAGTGTCTCTCTGTGAGCATCCCTGCATAGTGGTTGGTACTGACATTCATGGACGCCCGTCTTGACCACCCATTGAATCTACACTTCCCAGTGACCTCGGGTCTCAATCAGATCTCCAGGCCTATATCCACGTTGCTAACTCAGATAGCCCTTAGCACCTCCATTCCAAATATCCTTGTGCCATGTCCACCTCTCTTCACAGACATGCTGTTTCCTGTTCCTGTTCTTCCGTTCTTCAGGCTTGACCTTCTAAAGTCATTCTTGGGTCTTCCTTCCCTTACCCTCTGTGAAGTCTAGGTTTGTATCACCTAAACGTCTACAGTGTCTCTTGTCCATGCATGGCCCTGTGCCAGTTCAAACCCTCACTGTGTCCAGGACAAGAGATTAGCATGGCTATTCAAATTTACTTCTACTCCTCTGGCTTCTCTCCCTTCTGTCCCCATGCCTGCCCCTGAGTGCCAGATATTTTTCTGTAAATACCTGCCTTGCCCATTTACTTACACACGACTATGTTTGCCAACCTGGTTTAAGAATAATTCGGTTCTAGAATCATTTCTGACTTCACCCACATATTTATCCCATGTTTGATACCAGCTTGGAGCACCATCTTTCTACAATTCCTAGACATGTTTGTTTCTGCCATTCCTTCCGTGCGGCGATCTCTGCCAGTCTCGATGTCACCATGCCCATCTAACTTAACCCTACCATTTTTCAAGACGTAGGTCTCAAATCACAATCACCTGCCCTATGACGCTTTCCTTGCGTGACTCAGTAGGGTGTGACTCTTGCCCGTCTCTGGGATTAGAGACCTGAGGTTTCTATTGCACTGTGCCTGTTTGCCTTTGATCCTTCTTATCTGCATAAACATGTAATCTTCCCTCTAATCTCACGGTCACCCCTTGCATCATCACCATCAGGGAAGCCACATTGTCTTAGACACCAGAGATAATTCACACCAGAACATGCAGCTTCGTCCAAAGGAGGAAGACGTGAAAATCCCGGATGCAAAAATCTCATTGCTTTAATCCCAGATGCGAGATGTTTTTCCCTGTTCAACGTAGTTAAGCAATGAGGAGAACTGGCTAGAGTGGATCTCACTAAAAGCCAAACAAACCAAAAGCTCCAAAAGTCCGGATGTGTCGGTACATATGTTCAGTCTCAACACTTGGGAGGCTGAGGGAAAAGGACAGCCTGTACTAGTGAGACCTCACCAGAGGGGACAACGGCTCTTGGTTTTCTCTGTGGTTAACAGGAGCTCTGTATTAGATGAAGACCGGAAAGTGTGTACATGTCTCATGTTCAGGTTTCATTTTTCTCTCATTTAAGCTCCTATATTTCTGATATTATTATTATTTACTTCAAAGTATACTCTTCAGTCCAGAGACTTAAACCGAGGCCTTATACATGACAGGCTAGTAAACTGTCATGGAGATTTCCTCAGCTTTTTTTTTTTTTTCAATTAAAAAAAAATTCAAATCAAGGTCCCTTTAAGTTTGCCAGCCATGCCTTGAACTCTCTGTAGCCCAAGCAGGCCTTGAACTGGTGATCCTTTTGCCTCAACTTTCTGGGTATCTAGGGTTACAGGTCTGGCCCAGCCATACCCTGGTTACTATGTTGTTTTCAGTAACAATGGAACATGTTTTAAGTTGGAGAGTGAGGGGAAGACAAGTGACTGGCATTGAAGAGTAGCAATTGTGTGGCATGAGTCACTCCACCCAGTGAGAGCAGCAGTTGGTCCCCAGCTACAGGCACAAATCTCACGGAGACATACATTAATCATGGGGAGATAATGCGGCTTTCACATGGTCCGGGGAAATGCACTATGGGTTCTCCAAAGGGAATAGAGAGAGCTTCCTTATCGCAGCTGCTCTTTGTGGAATAGAGAGCTGTTGCTATCTGATTAAGGGCATTTAATTTGTGGCAAAGACAATGTTGAAACTTAATATCCAAAGCTTTTTATCAATTTGCAGTCCTTTTGAGAGCTCGGGTTCTTCATACAGAATTCTGTCTCCATGGTGTTTAATTTACTACAGGATGTCTTCTCATGATTTATGCTAATTGTTTTGTGATAAACACCAGAGACCTCGACTCTTCAAAAATCTCATCATTGTGGTTCATGCCAGTCACAAAGGTCCGGGGCCAAAATGCACAGGGTTCTTACAGTTGCACTTTCCCTTGGGATAGAAAGAAATTTTCAGCTAGCCTCTGCTTATCAGGTAGCATTCCAAGCGAGAAACAATAACAGAACACCATGTTTGGACACTAGGAGTTTGTTTCCCATGAAGGCAGAATATTGCTTCTTCCCCTTCTTTGTTAAGGGCAGCAACTGTTTTTCAAACATCACAGCACTCATTCTCAACTTTCAGTCTTATTGTTAAATGTACAAAGCTGCTTTAAATGAATCATCTACATCTTGGTGGTGAGCTGAACATAGTGAAGAAAGTCTCCAACAGGGCTGTCCTGGATAGTTCTTCTGGCAGTAGTGGGTTACCTAGCATCTTCACCGCACAGAACAGCCTCATCCACTCTGTCTCTCCTACGCTGACAGTATCTTACTGTCTACAAATTCGATTGAAAAGGTGACTATAGCAAGCATGCATTTCATGAAAAACATTGACCTGATCCTATTTATTATAATGGCAAAGATTAGGTGAGAATTTATGATTTTCTTGACATTATGCTCAGAACTATATATTAACTTATTGATTCTTTTTAAGGATGAACATATTATTATATTACCTAAGGGGAAATTGTAGCAACATGAGCTGAGGCAATAATACAGCAGGGTCACGTGATGAATCATGGCAGTATAGATGTCCCTGGCTTAGCAGCTTTAAGGTATAGATACTGGTCTCCTGGTCCACACCAGAGGTGACTCAAGAAAGCTGGAGACATGTGTGATTCTATAGCAGCAAGGATAGAGAACCAAGATACATGGATGGAAACACTAAATGAGGAAGGCAAGAGGAACGGGGTGAGAGTAGATGGAAGAAGGGGGGGGGGGAAATCTGTGGAGAAGGCACACTGTGAGGAGCACCCAGGAGGAAGCCATAAAGAACACTCTCGGGGAGCACCCCAGCCCTGCTCCCTGCTTGGAGAACACAGCTGAGGCCATGGTTTAAGGGAAAATTCTCCAATACAGAAGCTTAGCTTGAATAGCCCACACCCAAAAAAAGGCTGCCAGAAAGGGGGTTTACCGTTCTCAAATATGGAAACAAGCTTGCAAGTTTAGTTGACCTAGAATGAACTCGCAGTGGAGTTTAAGAAATAAGCCAGTGTCTTTTGAGTAGTTTATTTTCTGTGCGGCTACATTGTGTGAGAATAGACTCTATAATTAGCCAGTGTTCCTGTACTTGTTGTCTCCGTTAAAAATGAGCATTGAACATCTATCTAAAGGTAACATGTTAAAGACCCACAGGGTGCATTGTAAAATACAGTCCTGCGTTTTAAGTAATGCATATGGGAAGGTACATTAACGTCAACAAAAGCTCAATTGCTACTGCTGTAATACATACTGCAGTGAAGCCCCACAAAGTAGACACAAAACCCCACGTGCTACAAGCGTTCCACACAGGCAAGACTTCAACTAAGAGGCTTCTTTGGCAGCATGGCATTTGAGGGTAAATAGAGTTTCACAGATAATTAACATGGAGGCTCATGTTCTATTTCCGAGTACTCAGAACTATTTAAAAGTGAATCTGCCTTTTGATTTGGGAAGGTTTTATAAAACTAATATTTGATTTTGTTGTCTCTTCCCAAAGTGAAGAAATGGACAATCTCATCAGAATGAGCAAAAGCTTGAACAGGTGAGGTTTAAAAAGTTCTGTTTTTCATGTTATTGTTGAGTTAAACATTGTGAATCCTTGTATCATCTTTTAAGAATTAAAAACACTGTTTGGGGCTGGGCCGTGGTGGTGCACGCCTTTAGTCCCAGCACTTGGGAGGCAGAGGCAGGAGGAACTCTGTGAGTTCAAAGCCAGCCTGGTCTACAGAGCTAGTTCCAGGACAGACTTCAAAGCAATACAGAGAAACCCTGTCTCAGAAACAAAAACAAACAAACAAAAAACCCAAGAAAACAACAACAACCTCCCCCCCAAAAAAGACCCAACAAAACAAAACAATGTTTGGTTTTAGAGTAGGAGGATCAGCATATCTGAATAGTCAGTAATACCTCACAGAAGCTTGCATTAAAAGCTTGGAGAAATAATCAGTTATTAAAGTACTAATATTTAAGTATTTTTGATTTTCATGTTCCAAGAAATTCAAGGTAGTTGTATGTTTATACATATGTCAGATTTTCTGGTATTCAAATATATTTATATATACCCAGTCTCACTTGACTGCTGAATATTTGGAGTTAAACCACTGGTATCTTTGTTATTATTATCTCCCAGTTTTGAGTCACTCGGAATTGCAAAACAAAAGATTCTAGGAGAGACGAATGGCAGAGACGGAAAGGGCCAGCAGATAGCAAAGGGAAGAGCAAAATAAAGAACTGTCCATTGGCTTCATTGACCTAACTCTATGAAATATGGTTTTCACATGCTGCTTTGAAAATCATCATCTGTGGGATGAATGCCGCAACTCACCTAGATTTGCCGCTCTTCAGTTTCCTGTCTTCACAGACAGGAGGTTTTAGACCAGGAGATGTCGAGGCAGGTGTAGAGGAGAGCATGTGGCTGACCTCATGAGGTATAGGCAGTGAAGGAGTCTGGACAGAGCAAAGGAAAACATCAACAGCATCCCAGCACCCACTGAGGAAGCCACATGGGAGGCTGGAGCCAGTGTTGCAGGACATTTTCAGAAAACCCTGGAACATCATGGTCTCACAACGCAGATAGCTTTATAAATGCTGACTTGTGTTAAAGCAATTAAAGAGAAAGATGATAGAGGCCATGAATCTGAGAGGGTGGCAGAGGGGAAAGGGAAAATGATGTAATTATATTTTAATTTCAAAAACAGAAAGAAAACAGGGGCTTGGAAATGGCTCAGAAGTTAAGAGTACTTGATGCTCTTTCAAAGGACCTGGATTCGGTTCCCAGACCTGCATAATGGCTCATAGCCATCTGCAACTCTAGTTTCAGGGGACATGATGCCCTCTGACTTCTACAGGAACTGAGGTTGCACATGGAGCACAGACACGCTGGCAGGCAGAGTACCCGGCACATAGTTATCTAGAAAAGGAAAAGAGATGAAGAAACAGGAAACATTTCGTGGGCCTCAACAGCATTTCTACAAACCGCTCATGGCCTGTGTATTCCCAGTTCATCTCTTTGGTTGCTCTTCCTCTAAGGCTTACTGACATTTAAACTTGGAGTTTGGGAAAACCCGTGTAGAATAAGGCAATTTCCAGAAACATCCCTCCATCTTTCCCAGCCAGCTTCTATTTTACATGTAAACTGGTATAAGCTTTTTATAGCTAAGCATCTGTTATTATTACTGATGATATTTTTTAATCAATATACTTAAAGAAATCAGGGTCTTGACGGCCTCTTCCGATCAAACCTGAAGACACAGCCGGTAGACAAAAGGTAAGTGTGCCTGTCCGTCCTGGACATCCGGTGCCGCAGACTGCATGCCTTGCCCCTTCAGACAGCAGAGGTGGTGGTGGGGAGCTGCATCCTCTGGCAGACAAACACACTAGCAGATGGGCTAGCTCTCCCGGCATTGTACATTTAGTTCAGACATAATTGCCCGGAAGGATCTCTGCTCTTCCATTCAATGAGAGTAAATGAGCAATTCATAGAAAATGTTTATTATATCTGACCTTTCAAGATACCTCACCATTTCACTTCAACATGCGGTTTTTATTGCAATTCCTTGTTTCCAGAGCCCAGAGTCTTGAAAGTCTCATCTGTATGAACTCCCAGTTGGACAGAGATGGCAAAGGGTAAGAGCCAGTCAAGGCAGGCTACTTGGGGTGACCCTTCCTTCGACTGCCATGTATTGTCAGCAGGAGGTCACCTTCTCTGGCCAGGGTCAAGCGGTCTGGTGGCATGGACTCAGAGTAAGGGTCAGAGAGGAGCTGGGGGCCTCGTAGTGGCTCTGCCGCCATCATGGATCTCAGTGATCTAGTCACGTGCCTCAACTTCCTCATCTCATAAGGAGAAGAGTGTGGTCTAGGTGATCTCCACACCCTTTAATGTTAAAAATGAAGGAAGCCCACCTTGTTACTATAGGAAACTTATAAACTAAGTGTACTGACCACAGGCACTTGGGTTCTAGCAAGGAGCCACTTGACACTGAAGTCCTTAATATGCAGAAGACTCGTCTTAGACGTTTATCTTTTCATAGGTATTTGTAAATGCCTTAATGTTGAAAGACATTCAGAAATTTTGTAGTGGGTTAAACCTAAACTAGTAGCTTTTGAGAGATGAATTTGCAACTTTAGACTCACAATGGCAAACTAGAAAGTGGGCTTTTTATTACTGATATTATTTCACATCGAAAGAAATAACATTTCTGACAGCCTTATTAAATGAAATTTCTGGGCAGTCAAGAATGACAAAGGTTAAGGATTTATGAGGTTTCTTCCACTTTCCCCCAGACTGGCCACTTACTTTGCATTTGGTTGTCACATTTATTTTTTGAAGCCGTTTATCTGCACCAGTGTGTGCACAGAATGATACTCTCGTTTTCCAAGTCAGTCCCATCATATCGGCTCTCTGATCCAGAACACGCAGCAAAGCGTCTATGATGGGAAGCGCTCCCAGTAACAGACAGGCGTGCTGGTGCACTGTAGGTGACTTCCTCCAAACGGAGGATGCAGGTGGAGAGCAGTCAGGAGTTTTGCCATGTCAGTTTGTGTTTTAGAGGAGAAAATGAGATTTCGGATGTTTTGAAACGAGAAACAGAGAGAGCTCCAAAAGGATGGTAGCAAACAGGAAAAGCAGGGTGAGCCTTCCCAGCCGTGGTATGGACGTGGAAGAGGGAAGGACCGTGATATAATGTGGGATAGCTTGATGACACCTGACCTGAAACGGGAGTAAGTGCCCTTCAAGGAATAAGAGGGACCAAGTTCTCGTTTTTTGTCCGTATTCTCTCATCTGCAGTGAAAGAACTTGATATGCCAGTAAATTTATCACAATGAAACCAGTCAGAGATGAAAATGTCAGCGTGTAGCACTTGGTCATTCCTGTCATATTAGGGGATTAGCTTTCAGTTCGTTATTGTTCTAACGTGGGTCTTGCCACGTAGCCCCAATTAGTCTCATACACAATCCTCCTGCCTCAGCCTTTCAGGCACTTTGGTTATAGTAATGAACAACCAGTAGCCTCTAACAAATCTTAGATTTTTGTATATTAAAGTCTCATTCTATGTGATCAGTTTGCGTAAGGTACTAAAGTCAGCGCCGTTATTTCTACTTTTCAAGGTGATGCTAGACCATTCAGGATGCTCAAGAAACTTCTCCAAGTCCTCAAAATATTTCAATTTAAAGTGTTGATTAATTAATTGAATGAATTTTTGTGCTTAAATATGACAAAAATCGCCATGCATATATTAAAGTTAGCCTTCCTCTAATCTACCCTCAAAAAGAAAAAGCTGAGGCCTGGTGGTAAAGATTGCTTTCATGTTGATTCAGTTGTAACTGAGTAATGGTTGATATCTTGATACTGAGGTGTCTGGCTAACATTCCATGCTCCTTAAGTTAGGTGCTTCTAAGATCTTAGGCCCTGATTGCATCTCATTCTTGCTGTGAGAAATCTACAGCTGTCCTAAGAGATGCTGAACATGCCGCTGAGTTTCTCTCTCACACACTTTCTTTCCTCAACCCCAATGCTCTGAAGAAATCAAGTCTTTGGGAGTCTTAAGAAAATCAATCAAAGGACAGACAAGGAGAAAGGGTGAGTAAAACACCTTCATTGGGAGGGGGGTCTTCGTCTTGGCCAGTATTTTACACCTTGTCAGCTGTTGGGTGTTATAGTTATTTTCTGCTACAGATGAACTCTTTAGATTCAGAAATAGTGGGTCAAAAGAATGCAATCCATGCCATTTCTAAAGGAGAGCCATGAAAATTCTCTACCAAATCTCTCATTCTATATTTTCTTAAATAATAAGAATGTATCAATTTTTAAAATGTGAATCAAGAAATGTAAAGGAAAAATTGCATGCAAAATGACATGATGTTTAAGTCAAGTGCCACTGTGGAAATTAATTAAGAAGCTAGAAAATAGGGTAGGGAGATAGAGAGCTGAGCCAGTAAAAAACCTGCTGTGTAATCATATGGACATAAGTTCAGATCACCAGAACTCATGTGAAGGCCTGGAAAATGGGGAGCATCAGAAACCCAGAACTAGAGGGCAGGGGACAGGGGGATGCCTAGAGCTCAGTGAGCAACCAGTCTAACTGGACCTGTGACCCCTAGGTTCAGTAACAGATGTAAGGTAGAAAGCAATAGAGTAAGAAACGTAATGTTGACTTCAAAGGTTCACATGTACACAATCATACACTTGTACACATATACCCACATGCACACAAGACGTACACATGAATACAAACACAGACCACATATATGAACACACAAAGGTAAGCCAAGGATAATTAGCACCAAGTCTTTCTGGTCAGTTGTTTCTAGAAACTTCTTACAGCACATTTCACCATGGGCTGGGCCCTCTGCCATCGGCCACTAAGAAAATGCTCTATAGGCTTCTCTGTACCACCCCATCTTATGGAGACGTTTTCTCATTGAGAGTCCCTCTTCTCAGGTGACTTTAGCTTGTGTCAAGTTGATATAAAACTAGCCAGTTCAATGGTGTTTCAGAGAATATTGCATGTAATCTGACTTAACTTTTTAAATTGAAAATTCATACAATATATTCTGAACAGTTTCCTCTCCCATTTTCTCCTCCCCAGATTCTCCTCACCTCCTTACCCAATTCAGCACCTTTCTTTCTTTAGAAAAACAAAACAGGCAAAAAAAAAAAAAAAAAGAACAAAAACAATAACAATAACAAAACCATAATGTACAAAAGACCAGTAAGATAAGAGCAATTCCCAATATAAGATAAGCAAATTCTAAAACACCATTGAGTTCATTTCGTGTTGGTCATCTACTACTAGGGGCTGAGCCTACTTAAGCGAGGGTTATATACCCAGTGACATTCCAGTGGAGAAGACTTTTCCTTTGTATTCTGTTGTTGATTAGGCAGAGCTTCTTGGACAGAGGTGGAAGAGAGCTGATCACTTCTCCCTCTCAGTGATGGGACCCCATCTGGCTTGACCCTGTGCAGGCCTTGCACACTCTGCCACATCCATGTGAAGTCATATGTGTGTCAGTGTTCCTGTATGGCAGACATGGTTTCCTTGGTGTTGACATAAATTTTGATGGCTTTTTTTTTTTTTTTTTTTTTTTTTTTTTTGCCCCCTATGAAGCCAAGACCTCAGACCAGTTACGAAAATGAGTGCCACAGCAGATAAAAACAGCAGAAGGTGAGAATTGCTTGGCTCTCTCTGAGTCTCAGGCTTCTCTTGGCTTAACTGGTGACCTTCTCACTGGTGTGGAGAGAATCACAGCGTTGAATACGCCTTCTCTTTTTTGTGCCTTACTTCAGCAGCCTTATTATATACTTTGAAGAGTGTATCTTTATTACACTGAAATTTACATTTATATATAGAATGACAAAACCTTGGAGATTTATTTGTATTACTTGGTCAACTTTATGCTGAAATGTATTTGATGTCAGTATAATAATTTTCACAGAAAGCTTGCATTGATCACTAAAAAAAAAATGTTGAATGGATGATATGTATCTGGTTCTATGGAAATGTCATAAAACTAACCCAAACATTCTTTTCATAAGAAGTAGAGATCTTGATAATGTTATGAAGATTAACCTCAAAGGACATGAAAATACCTCTGGGTGAGTCTCACTAATGTCCCCAAATCTGATTTCTACATAATAATCAGAGGGCAAATTATTTGACTTTTTAGCTTTATAGCCATATTTTAAAGTATGAAATTAACCAATATGATGGGAGATGTGGCCATTCATCCTTGTCTTCCATTAACATATTTATTTTAAAATAATTGTCTCAATATTTAATACTGAGTTACTTTTCTCTTTGATTTGGGGCATTGGCTTCTTTTTAAGGATTGATGAGAGAGTAGAATTCTTTATCTAACAAATGTAACCTTCACATAGTTTTCAAAGTTTTCAAAGTACATTTCCAGAATGACATAGTCAGCCAAGCCAGTCTTGACTAAGACTCTCACAGGTCTCCTCCTCTAAGGATGGTTTCCAGCCACAGCCTAGACAAGGCTGGACTGGTACCTAAATGGGAGGAAGGACTCACTGCTGCATCACTTGTCCAGAACTATGATGCCTTTTGTACCCAGTCCCTATGTCTGCCATCCCTCACTGTCCACTTTGAGCATAGCTTACATGCCTCCTGATTTTTAATGGGGCAGCATGTAGATCCAGTAAGAAGAGAAGCATTATGTCCCCTAGTATGTAATGGGTTTCGTCTTTAAGTCTTGCTTTGTTACTTATAATAATTTACTCTGAGGCAAAAGATATTTAAAAGGTTTTGACATGGGCACGATTGATAGGGAGGGTTATATGAGGGGATGCTTTCTTAGCATTTTTAATTTTGTTAAATCATTATAAAAATTAGAATTATCATCATTCTAAAAAAGACAAAGATTGTGTCAGTTTATTGGACAGTAATTTGTACGCAGTCTGGTTCCAGTGAATAACTTCATTTAACTTACCTTGCTTCCCTGTGGCTCATTGGGCGGGACCTAACGTGATGGATCTGCACACAAGACTGGCTTTGTTCAGGAAGAAGTGTCCATGCTCTCGTGTTCTGAGAACAGAATAGACAGTACACGTGTGTGTGTGTGTGTGTGTGTGTGTGTGTGTGTGTGAGCTGTTAGCAACGGAACAACCTGCAGTGACCTTCAGCTTGAGATATCAGATAACTGTCATTTTTATTTAGAACTTTAGGTGTTCACACTGGTGCAGAGAAATTTTGCATTTATCACTTCTTAATATCTGAGCTGTTATTAATTTGACTAGTGTTTTATTTTAGTGACATTCATTAGACCTCATTTCCTTTTCCAAAGCAAACAAGACATCGATGGATTGACTAACATGAATCCTGAAACACATAAAAATATGAAGAGGTAATGTGCCTACAGCTTCCTCCTGCCAGGCATTATGCACATTAGAATGCTATTGTTCATGTTTGGGGCAATGAGTTGAAGCCCAAACGGATCATTTATTTTCTCAAAGACATTTCATTAAGCAGTTTGATAAGAGTGACATTTGTGACATTGGTGACATTTGTTATCTGGTAATTTTGAGAAATTACAAGAAAGTTTTGAATAAGCTTCTCAGCTATTTTATTTTACTTTGCATTAGTGTGTATGTGTATGGATAGTATGTGAAGCATATGTATGAGAATTAGATCTATAAAAGTGTGTGAATGTATTAGTAGAGGGATACATGAGAGCACATGTGTATGTAAGAGCAGAGTATATATGCATGTGTATGTGTGTGTACATGTGAACTGTATTTTCAAACTGAACTTGTTGCCATGTAGCTGAAAATAGTGTATCAAATAATTCCATGAACTCTTTTCCACTTAGTTAACTCAGTGTATGATATTATTTGTTGATCCTGAAATGTGTCACTAATGCCCCAGAGGCTGTGCTGGCAGAGCAAAGCTCAGCCAGCTAAAAGCTGCTGCACACGCTGCCAAGCTGCCCTGCTTTTGACCACGTGGCACAGAGGCACAGCCATCCAGTGAATTTGGCAAAGCAACCAAACTCTTGAAAAAAAAAAAAAAGAAGAAGAAGCAGCAAAACAAAACATTGGTCTCTTTGACTCCTTGAGTGGTTCAGGAAGATCAGGAAGATAACTGAGGAATTAATGTGAACAGGGAATCTGAAAGCCTCATTTCAAATTCAGCGCCTGACCAACTACGTCACTTGGCTCTGTTTCCTCAGTGTCTTAAGTTACTTTTCTGTGATGAAGCATGGCCAAAAGCAACTTGGGGATGAAATGGTTCATTTTACCTTCACAGCCCATCTCTAAGGGAAATCACGGCAGGAGCAAACAGGGTGGAAGCTTGAGACAGGTACTGGTGCAGAGACCGTGAGGAAGTGCTATTTACCGGCTTGCTCCTCCTCATGGTTGCTCAGTGTGCTTCCCTATGCCATCGAGGACCACCCCACCCAGGGGTAGCATCACTTGCCTATGGGGCAGGTGTACCAAATCAAACATCAATCAAGAAAATGCAACAAAGTTTTGATCAAAGGCAAGTTTCGTAGGAGCATTTTCTCAATTGAGGTTCTCACTCCCAAAATGACTCTTGCATGGGTCAGGTTGACATAAAACTAGCCAGCGTCTCCCTCATCTACCAAAGAGGAATCATAGAACTCTGGTGCTCAGCACATATTCAATAAAACCAATGAATCAGAAGTCAGTGTTAGGAAAACATTCAGATTATATTTTCATAATGGTCTAGACAGTCTTCATACATTTAGTTCATCTTGACATCTAAAATTATTTTCCTATTTAATATTTATTGGAACACTTCAAACTTATCCTTTATATATTGAAATGGATATGTGTGCACATGATTAGATATATACTTATATGCATATGTTTTAAAGGCTTGCTTACATTTGTTTATTCCTACATAAGCACATGGGTGTGCTTACAAGTAGAGAGAATGTGCTTGTGTATGTACACAGGTGGATATGTACATGAATGTGTGCATGTATGTATTTTATACAAGTGAATTATTACATATATAAAATAGTAGTTGAGTATGTATGAGTGTATGTATACATGAGTGTATGTATGCATGTGAACACATGAAATGTGTGTCCGTATTCGTATGTGCTTTCTATGAGCTTTTAAGGATAGCATGTTCAATTTACTTTTTACATAATGAGACTCTGTAGATATTTTAAATATATAGTTAGGGGCTCTGTCAATAAAAAGCATGAGAACTTGAGTTCAATTCTCAGAATTCTTAAAAAAGTCAGGCATTTCTACATAGTCCTGTATTTCCAGTCCTAGGATGGTAGAGACAGGAGGGTCCCTGGCATAGCTGCCCAACTAGTCTAAATCAGATTAGTGAGCTCTATATTCAGTATGAAGCCCTTTCCTCAAAAAATGACATGAAGAGTGATATAGGAAAACACAAGTCATCACACACACACACACACACACACACACACACACACACGGAGAGAGACACACACGTGTGGGAAGAGAAAGAAATAGAGACAGGGACATAGATAGATAGATAGATAGATAGATAGATAGATAGATAGATAGAAAACTGTCTTTGTTATTAAAAAGCTTTCACTATTTTTCCATCTTGGGTGGAATAAAATTCTAATGCCTAGAGACAGCCTTTTACTTTTCCAATACATTCTTATCAAATAACCCTTTAAATCTCAGGTTTGTTCTTGCATTGAGGCACTTACACACGCTGTGCCCATTTCCTGGAATACTGTCACTGTACTATCTTCCTTTCAAATGGGCCATTTTTTGACTATTAAATATGGTTAAATTATACACTCTCCCTCATTTATCCTCAATACTACATATAACAGCATATATTGTTAGCTGAAAAACTGTGCCTCTCACTTAGATGTTTGTCTATGCTCTGCTTTTCCCCAGCTTGGAATGAAAACCTCAAGTAGGCGAATTCTGTGTCTGTTTTGATCTATCCCACCACTTGGCAGAGCCTAGATCATCAGTCTTTGCTATTTGTGGACTGCTATAGCACATAAATAGTATTTAGTTATAATAGATTACCACATTAATTGGTTTTTCTTTATTGACTTTATGCAATAAGAACTTAAATCTACACAGTTATAGGGCTCATTTAGTATGTAAAGAGACTGAGGTCTACATAATACAATGAAAGCAAATTCCTCAACCAACACTCTCAAAGGAAGGGCTTACGGTGCTTACACTCTGTTATTTCCCTAGGACCGTGTGATTCAAATCCCATAGGCTTTATTTAGGGGAAAAACAACAGAGTGCAGCAGTTGTTTCTGAGGGGTTAATCATTTTGTTATTGTAGTGATGAAAATCCACATCTTTTCTTTGCTGTCCTTAGTCTGAATATCATCTTGAGACATCTGGATCAAGCAAAAAAAAAAAAAAAAAAAAAAAAAAAACTTGGGTCAACATCTGGTTGCTTCGAAACACTGTATCTTTGATGTTGTGTAAATGAAACCTCAGAGACATCTTGGTGGGGTCATGGAGTGTGGAGAGAGAGTGGTAATGCTTGCTTCTGAGGAGGCCCCTCTCCCCATGTGGTACTCTCTGTAGATCAGACAGTGCTTGCTGGTATGTGGAAAGCACATGCGTATGCAGCGACAGGAACATCATTCCCGGAAGATCAGAAGCAGGCGTGTTTTTAAGGCCGACAGAAAAGTGCTCAAGCGTTTTCAGCAACCGTGGAGTTTATAGTTCAGACAATATGGCTTGCATTTTGGTACATTTCAGAAGTCTATACACTTTAGCTTTCTTATTGTTTGTTCTCCAAACAATCAGTTACAATGTGTCATTCTGATGAGTTATAAATTCCAGAAGTAGATAACCAGGTTGTGTAGAGTTCATTTCAAACAAATTGGTATATTTATCCTAGTGCAGTTTTATAATAGAAAATTTACCAAGAATATTAACAAAATGTAGATTTTAAGCTGAGTGGTGGTGGCCCAGGCCTTTAATTCCAGCACTCGGAAGGCAGGGGCAGGTGGATCTTTGTGCGTTCAAGGCCAGCCTGGTCTACAAAGCTACACAGAGAAACCCTGTCTCAAAACACCAAAAAAAAAAAAAAATTGTTTTACACATGTTGGTGGTTGCTACTAAGAGAGAATGCTTTTGGAATGTTCTATGAGACAAGTATTAAATGTTTTTAAATGTTTTTTTTTTTAAATGTTTTTAAGGGGCCAGAGCCTTGACAATCTGATCAAAGTCACCCCAGAAGTGAACAGGAGTAACCAAGGGTAAGAGAATTATGTCTTATCTCTCTTCTTTCCTGATTAATATGTAGCAGAAGAGCTGGGATTCTTGGACCCAGAAAGTCTGAAGCTCATTGCTTACAAGATGGGGTTCTGAGCGGGTCCCACAGACACTGAGCAGCAGCTAGCAGTCATAGCATCATGAATATGTGCTTATTATATCACTGGCAACAGAGAGCAAGAAGGGCCAAGTGGGATAATGACTATAAGATCCTTTTAAAACAAACGTGCTGGAAATGGGAATTATTATCAAAACACCATTGAGTTGAGGCCACAGGATTAGTGTGGCTGTTTCTGGAGACAGGATAAGTTTTTGGGTAAACCGTTGCTTTGTTCCAAAATACACTAATGAAAAACAATCTCAACCATGGCCTAATGATGGGATTTGTTTTGAGAATAAGTGGGAAATGAAGCCAGTGTATCACTGATGTGTATGAAGGTTGGAACTTTACTCCTGTCAGCTGAAAATTTAGACCAGTCTTGATTTCTATCAAAACTTAATCCTAAAATTTATTTTGAGGGCATATAGGTTCATAGGATTCAAAGGAAAATGGCTAGTTGATTTAATTCTACTTTTATCAAGTGGGTTTTCATTTGGTTTGTTTGTCTGTTTAAAGTTCCAAAGATCTTAATAATTTGAGAGAAACCCACAGAACTGCTGACCTGAACAAGGGGGAGCTCATGGACTCCAGTCTGATAGCTGTAAAACCAGTATAGGACTGACCCAGATTCCCTGAAATTGGTGTTAGTTGGAAGGACTGTGCAGTCTATGGGGCCTCTGGTAGTAGGCTAGTATTTATCCCTAGTGTACAAATGGACTTTGGGAGCCCATTCCACATAGAGGGATACTCTCTCAGCCTAGACACATGGGGGCGGGCCTGGGCCCTGCTCCAAATGATATGACAGACTTTGAAGGCTCCCCATGGAAGGCCTCACCCTCCCTGGGGGGGCAGGAAGGGGATGGAATGGGGGTTGGTGGGGGAACAGGGGAGGGTTCGGGAACTGGAATCGATGTTTAAAATAAGCTTGTGTCAAATTCAAATAAAAAAATATAAAAAAATAATTTGACATCAGGAAAAGGCTTTCAAGGGTAGGATTTAATATGTCCCCCTTTCCATTTTAATCTGATCACTGTTTACAAGTGTAAAGACTGATCCCGACTGACGTTACTCTAGAGTTTTGTCAGGTGACTCTCAGCACAGTGGAGTTGCTTTTCAATGAATACAGGAAACATTGTGTTTGGTTGGCTCCTTTTAGCAGAAGGACAATGCAGAAGAAGGGTGACCCTGATAGGCTAGAGCCCAGACGTGTGTCTGGGTGTCACCTCAGACTCGTTAGGACTGGACAGCTTGTTTGGGCTTTGCCTTTGTCATTAGCTGAGGAGCCAGAGCTGTTGTGTTCACTGGATACTTTCAAAACCAATTCCATTCCTAAATTTCAACAAAATGGCTAGTGTCAAGGTTTTAATAAATATTTTGCAATAAAATATTTATCAGTTTAAACAAATAATTTTGACCATTCTATGTCATTTAATTAGTAACGTTCTTTCTTCTATATTTTTAAGGGGTCAAAATCTTGACAATTTCACCAAAGCTGTGCTCACAACCAACAGAGCTAACCAAGGGTAAGTTGTATGAAACATCTTTCTCTCCCCCCTCTTTTTTTTTTCCATTTCACTCTTAAAAATCAGAGAAAGGCTTCATACTGTGCTAGAGACATTCCTTAGAGGTATGTTACCACCCCGCAGTCTGGTACTGAAACCCCTACACAGGCTTCCCTGGCTAAGGGAGATAGGGGTTCCATGAAATACAGAGGTGAACTGATTCCAGTTTAGCATATGTATTCCATGCTTGGTGCAGCCCAAATAAGAGTGTGCAGTAGACAAAGGTTCCCCTGTCTTCTTCCTCCATTTTTCCCTTTCTTCTTTTGATCTGAAACCCAGCCAACTCTAACGTTAGGAAGTCAGTGTGTGTGTGTGTGTGTGTGTGTGTGTGTGTGTACGTGTGGGGGCTGACTTACGTACTGTGTGTGCATGTCGATGTCAAAGGTTGACAGAGTGTGTCTCCCCCAGCTGCATTTACCTTCTACTGCAGCTCACAGACTGGAACTAGTCCAGCTAGCATTCAGCATAGCTAGCTAGCCAGTGTGCTCTGGGGAATCTCTGTCTGTGTTCTCACCTTCCATCTCGCCTGCCTCGCATCTTACCTGGGTCGTAGGAATCCAAATTACAGTCTTCAGGCTTGTGTACCAAGTGTTACCCACTGAGCTATGTCCCTAGCCTAGGAGGCCATTAAAAAAAATCACATTTGATCCCCTGAAAAGTAAAAATGACATTTGTTTTCTTATATAGAAAGAACTTTCCCTATAACATACCACGTCGAGTAAACAAAGAAACATAACCAAATCATGAGCATACGTTGCTATGTCAGCTTGAGTTGAGTTAGACGTGAACGGTATGTAGATAGTGGCTTCCCAGCTGTTTCCTGTCTCTTAGAATAGGGATGCTCTGTTTTACTACAGTGTGGACAACTGTAACAAACAACAAAGCACATCCAGACTGTACCAGAGATCCACAGCAGCTTTGCTCAAAGGTCTAAGTAGCAAATAGATCAGGTGTGAGAGGCCAAAGTAACTTCTCACCTAACTGCATGCCACTACTGTGAAAGCAAGTAGAAAATGCCTTGTAAGTAAACGAGAGTGTCTGTGTCCTACTAAATCTTTGTTATAAATCCAGTATGTAGGAGGAGTTTGTCTCTGCGGGCCTTGGTCAGATGCTCCCTAGCCTTGATAGTTTGTATTTGGAAGGGAGAGGTGATTCAATTCAGGGTCGTTGAAGCAACGTTTCAAACACAGCCAGTTGCCCTGCCTTGCATAAATAATTTCATCTTAGTAAGGCTAAGCTGGAGATGCTCATCCTGTGTCTGACCTTTAGTGCTGAGTTGTCCTGAGGTTCTCATGACCCAAGTAAGACTAAAACCTCTTGCCCTACGTTGAATTTAGAAACCAAATAATTTCTTTACAGTGAATGTATAGAATGCAGTGCAGAGCTCCAGCTCTGAAAGGCTGTTCTAACTGTAGAGAAACCCATTGTGACATATAGACTTTGTCTGGTTCATTTTTGGTGTGTGGCTTTTTTTTATTTGCCAACCATGTATAATAAAGTTTTTTTTTGTTTTGTTTTGTTTTGAGGATTCAAGTCATGCTGGAGTGCTGGAGTTTTAAGTTACTAAATATGAATTTGATTTGATAATAAGGGTGAGAAGTATAAAATGATTGTTCTTAGTTGACCTTGTCTGATATTACAATGTATTATTTTCAGGACCTAAGACCTGGGCACTCTAATCAAAGGGGCCTCCTCAGCAAACAAACAAACAAACAAACAAACAAAAAATCCTCCAATTTATGGAAAAGAGTAGGATTATTTGATTAAAGATATTTCAAAAGAGGAAATAAAAAATGTGAACATGATTTGTTAATCTATAAAATGCTAGACAGGGTTTTTCTCTTATTATTGCTTCCACTTATTTCACTATAATATTGTTTAAGATGGTAATACCGATACTAATTCTGTATAATTACTACTTGGGAAATTCCTTGTGCGACAATAATCACATAAGTAGGTTAATACTGCAAACTCTTAGTTAATAAGTTATAAATGTATAAAAATGAATAAACTGAAAATATCAGTTTGCTGCTTTCTCATAATTACAGGATTAATATTTAAATGACTTTGTGAGAAAACTGGCACTATAACGGGTTTAGAGTTAATGAGAATATTTTTGCATGGCATTGAACATACTTCTCTTCTTGAGAAATTGAGATGGCTTATGTATTGGAGCAACTCCAAGCTGCCGCTCATAAAGCAGTTGTGAGAATAATGCTGGTATGGAAGGAGCTGCGGTGCTCAGGGAAAGAACACAGGCTCACCTGCAGCTGCCCTGAGCTCCGTCTGAAGGATGCCCAGGGGACAGAGTGAGAGTGTGCAGGGTTCAATGTGGTGCATCTTCAGCATTTCTTGGGGATCTGGGTCTAGGAAGCGTATTATTCCCTATGAAACTCTGTAAGGTTTGGTACTAGCCACCCCTTTACTCTTAGAAAGGTTAAGTCACAAGGCATTAGACTTCAAGACCAGCCTGCTGTTCTATAAAGGAAGTGGTGAGGCCCTGTCTGAAAACAAAATCAAATCCAAAAGTAACTAACAACCTGTGATAGACACATTGTAACACATTGTGTTTATTCTATTCCCATTACCTGTGTGCCGTCATGGGCACACAATTTCTTACCGACTTTGACCCTTCCTTTTACTTTGTTTTAGCAATCAACACGGTCTTGATGAACTTATTAATACAAGCCCCAAAGATGTCAAAACTACTGCCGGGTAAGCGAAAATATTATATTTTGTTTTTCTTTCAACTAAACAGAATATGAATGTAAATACCATAATCAGTTTTATGGGAAAATTCAATGAAATTCTTGAAATATCATCACTATTTTTATATGTACCTGGAAATTACATGGTAATTTCAGTATTTAGACATAGCAAAACACAGGCAGATGAGCCATGTACATAGCAGGGCCTTCTCCTAGTCTTAAGTAAATTAACGGACCAACCAAGGGGAGGCAGAGATATAGCTAGGCTGGGAGCTGGTACATTCTGCTTGGTTTGTAAAGTATTAATGTTAAGCTTTTGTTTCTGAAGTTAAGATTTATTAATGATAGCTGTGGAATAAACCAAGATGCCTCATTTGACACATCACTAGTAGTGAGTGCATTTACTCTTTGTGGAAAAGTGTTTTCTGGAGGACACTAGAAAGTGTAGGAGGCTTATTGTTCTTTACAGGACTTGTGCTTATAAAATGTATATGAACGTAAATAATTCTGTAGTTTCTCTAAGGTAATTAAATTCACTTTTTATCTCTGATTATATACAAGTCAAATTGTGTGTGTGTGTGTGTGTGTGTGTGTGTACAAGTATTTTTTGTATAAAATCTTGGGAATGTTTTCATAATTTCCATTTTTAAGTGTGTTGACACCTATACAAGTCATAAAACCTTACTGAAGGGATGGAGGAAACATGGGAAATCTTAGCACAGTTGATGGGCACAACTTTGAAAACCACCTTTGCAGCTGAATCTGTTTTCCAGAAGAGGGGACAAGGACTCGGAGAGGTCAAACGATTTGTTCAGGGTCACAGAGAAAATTAAGGAAGACTGATAGTAGTTCCGTGATTGCTGAGGCAGTAACTAATCACGGAGCACCTACTGGGTTCACAGCTATCACTAGGTGTCATTTTGCTTGCATGTTAGGTCTAATTACAGGCCACGGACACCAAAAAGAGAATTTGGTAGTCATACTCAATCTTATTAACAGCAGGCAATTAGCATAGATTAACGCTAATTATGTGCCAGGGCAGAGAGATGTTACGCTAAGACAATAATAGGTTGTCAGTTTAATATATTGCATTTAGGAGCCCCCGTGTACTGCTGGTTGAACATAGCATGTATTGTCAGTGAGTTGCATTTAGAAAGAAAAGTGAAACGGAAGGCTGTTGCAATAAAACATTACATGCAGTAACATCTGTGTTCCCGGAGTTGATGTTAGAGAGGACAGAGCTGTAGGCAGTGTCTGGTTCAAGCTCCTCGTTTGCATATGACAATATCAAGGCTTGAGTGAAAAAAATTCTATCTTCTATGAGGTCCTGTGGTTTCCAGCTGAATTCTGTTCTTGACTCCACAGCACAGACTTCAATCTTCAAATAGATGAAGGTTCATTAGATGTCTCAGGAAACCCAGGAGGCTACAGGGATAGGTTGGGGCTTGTGTTGTAGGACAGCTGGGATGGGAAGTGTCCCTCAGTGGTCTGACAGGGTCTGATGGATCACGTATGGATGACAATAGCACAAATGTACAGATCACTACAATACGCTTTGGAGTCTGAACCTCCATGGAAATAATGCCTAAATACCTGGTACACCCTGTAACCCATCAGTAACACAAAATCAAATCAGAAACTTGTGTAAGGAAGCTGTTATATTTTCTCTGGATAAAATTTAAACATTGCATTCACATGTTCACGGGATCCAGGCCTGGAAATAGTGTTTCCAGTTCATTGAGATAAGTTGCATCTGTCACTTATTGAGGGAATTCGGAACCATTGCTTAGCTCCTTGCTGTGGTGACACAGTGTTGCCTTTTATAAAAAAGTAGTGGCAGCACATAGCATATGTTTATGTCTGCTGGCTTTTGTTTCTGAGACTTTGATATGTCCCTTATTAAAGGTTTTTATAATTAGTTCAATGTATATCCATCAGCACTCACAAGAGCGAATCAAATAGAAAATATTAAAGTTCTAATGTTGTCAGGGCATAGTTTCTTGCAAGCTCTCTCTGTCTCTTTCTCTCTCTTCTCCCCCCCCCCCGTGTGTGTGTGTGTGTGTGTGTGTGTGTGTGTGTGTGTGTGTGTGTTTCCTGGGCTTTTCAAAATACTGATTTGAATATCTCTGTTTTAGATTTTTAGATGAACAGTCTTATTTTACACTCAGTAGAGCGTGTAGAGAGGGAAGCTTTGACATTTGTCTTAGCATTTTCTCTTAAGCCCATGGAGAGTCTGAGCAGTCACACCGAAATCCATTGTGATTAATCTTACATGTAAACAAGCTGTGACTTTTAAGCACACCTTTGCTTCTAGAAGGTTTATTCCCTATTATTCCTTTTTTCCCTTTAATATATTGAGTTAACTTCATTTTAAATGCTCGCATATTTGTCACCGTTTAGTTTTTAACAGATTTCCCGCCTCTGTTGTCTCATTTAATCTTCATAGCACCTATTTTGTAACAAAATGTTTTCAAGCAATTTATTCTGAGAAATCGTTTTTAGTAGTGTTCATTTGCCAATCATTTGTTCTATTATATTTATAGATTTTTTTAAAAAAAAATTAAAAACAGTTTCTTAAGGATGACTCAAAATTCAGATTGAGATGTTTCCTCTATCAGGGAGATCTGAGAACTCTTCATCCAAGTGCTGGAAGCCATCATAGGCACACATGCCTTGGCAAGGCTGGGGAGGGAGGCTGCCTCTGGAAGGGAAGGGGACCCAGGCAAGCTGCTGCTCCCGGTGGTACTGGGAGAAGATACTGTTATTCCTGCAGTCTTTCACAATAGCATGTGACATGTGCTTCTCTGAGTATCTATGGATATAAGGATACGATTTAGAATGTAGTAAGAAATTATGCAGATCTAGAAAAGTGATAGCAGTAGATTGTTTTCTAAAGTCTAAAATCGCATTAACCCTGAAGATATCTAGGGTTCTAGTACCAGAAATGATTTCCCTCCTGTTGAGTGAGCCTTAAGTCCAATTATTTGGGTGGGTTTCTTTTGTCGTCTGTGGAAGTCTTGGGAGACTGCCAGTCATGTTGGTAACAGGTCTAATAGTCACATTGTGCAATGAGTAATCAAGAGACATGTCCTCCAGCTCCTGTCTCCTGCCTATCTCCATCGAATGGCAGTTCTTGTAAGAGTCTTGCCTCTGGTTTTACTGCAAGAGGCAAACTTTATAAAAGGTAGTTTGTACTCTAGCAACTCCTTTTCCAGAAATCCACAGAAAGAGGACATTTTTTTCTTAAGCAAATATATTACTATTTAAAAGAATAAAAAATAAAATTAGGCATCATGGAATTCTGTGATGGAAGTTTGGTCAGCTAAGGTAACTTGTCTGACTATTCTTTAGAAGTGTACTAGATCGGATGATAAATGGCCGAGAATTATCACACAGCAGACAAATAGAAAAGACTGAACTATTTTAGAAGAGTGCATTTATGGATTGATTCAGCCACCTGTGTCTACCATGGAGCTATGCCATCCTCATGATTTCAGCATAGGTAAAGAAAGGGACTTTTAAAGCTCATGCTGGTGGGATGAACCCCCCATAAGACCCTCAGCAGTGCAATGTGACACAAACACTGGTCATTTAGTGACAAAGCAGAAGTGGATCTGATCTTTTGTGTGACTTTGCTGACATTGCCAGCAGCTGCATATTTAATTCACAGTTAGAGACTGAATAAGCTCCACTCATCCATCAGAAATACACACAAGCATCCTTGAGATCCCAGGAACGCAGCAGCCAGAACCAATGCAGATGCACACAGAATTTCCATTTGTTCAACGAGAAACAGCATGGCTTTTAGTAGTAATGTGAGCCAGCACCAGTGAGCGATCCCATTATCTGTAGTCAATAAACTGATGTTAGATTAATTATTAATGTTCTAAATTTCTGCTTCCAGACAGGCACCAAAGAACCCTGCAAATTGCTAGTGATGTTTCACCACCCACTATCGCCACCCTGAAGGAATGCTGGGATAGTTAGTCCATATCTCCAGCGTTAAGCCAGGAAAGCCCCACTTCTGGTGGAGGCTGTTAAGATAATATGGTAGCCTCAGATATGACAATGTTGCTTGTGTAATGATTGGTGAAAAACATCATTTAGGCAAATTCAGAGTCTTCTATCTGCATTATAAATTTGCAGCATTGACTACGTTCAGCTTTATCTGATGATGTGGGGGAACCCAGCTTTGAATTTTACATTATCGTTCAATTATAACATCCATTAATAATCCCGAAGTACTGTACATTTTACAGTTTCCCTGGAATATTAAAACTCACATTAAAGATATTTAAATTAATTTCTATGTTTTTCAAAGCACACAAATAGTTTTTTAAGTGTGACGTTTAAGAAGCTAAAGTATGCTGGCTAATTTGCATAGTTTATCAATTACTATTAAATCTCCACATATACACGAGGATACTTTATTGCATTTTGCTTCCCTAACAATGTTAATTTTGTGAGTGAGAATCCACATGCTGATTCTTTGTTTAGTAACTTTATTTGAATACAACATTTTAGAGCAGGAGAAGGGAGAATTATAGGAACTGGTGTTAATTCCAACGATGGGAAAGTTTAGGACTGAAATGAAAATTTAAAAGTCCCTCAGGACCGTGGAATCACTAACTCACTTTGACATTACGGCATTCCATTAACTATTTACCACTAACTCACTGCTACATTGCCACATCCTTTTAACTATCACTCTTCTTGTACTTGCTTTACTCACAACTTAATCATTGTGCCATGACTTGTGTTTTCCTCACCAAAACCTTATTGTACTGGATATTAGGAGTCTCCTTTGACAGAAGAAGCCTAAGGAATTACGTACTGAAGGACGTAGGGGAGGAAATGAGCTTCACTCTTCAGTAGGCTTCATGACACAGGCTTTTCCCAAACTCATGAAAACAGCAAACAGGATCTTTTGACATTAGGTTACTATGCAAATGACTAATGTAGGATAACATGCCAGAGGAACCAACCTGTCAGTCACCGAGTCAGCCTGTCAGTCACTGAGCCTAAGATCTGAGAGTCTCATCACCACATTCATCCTCTACCTTGTCAATTTCTTATTCAGTTGTCAGTCTGAGGTTTTATATTTCTGTAACCCAACAATGTCAATTAGGTCTCCAGCTAGAAACTTCCGAGCGTTGTTTTTTTTGTAGGTGGGTAGTATGCACTCAGTTCTTCATTCTCCTATAAGTTAGTTCTTGGGTTTTAGGACATTCACTCAGTGTTTCCAAGCTGGAGGTGCCAGTCCTGCAAGATCTTGTGAGGTCTGAATGAGGTAATCCATGTGAACATGTGATCAGTGCTGCAGGAAACTCTTTTCAGATTGGATTTCTTAAGCTTTCCAAAAGTGATATCTCTTTCACTTATAAAATCCACACCCATTTGATGGTGCTAGAATTAAACCCAGGACCTTGTACATACTAGGCAAGGCTGATATCCACTCTTCATGGATAGTCCAGTCATACTTGCATATTTACCTACAAGCCAATAGATTAAATAGCTCAGTATACAGTTTCCAGCCTCCTGAACACTTACAAATCAAAAATGACTATGTCTAAGAAGATGTACTGATGTTTTATTGTAATTTTTAAATTTCCTACAGTTGTGTTACAACTAAACCACATATACACACTATGCTTTTGTTTTTATGTATTTTTGTTTTCTTTAGAGACCAGAGCCTAGAAAATTTAACTGAAATTGATTCTCATGTATCTGAAAATAAAAATGGAAGGTAAGATTGGTTGCAATTGGCTTTATTTCTTAGGAATTCCTTTTGTACCCAAGTGATTGTTTAGAAAATTTTCTGGAGGAGTTGAATTGCACTGTAGCATTTTATAAGCACTATCCAAATCAGAAAAGTTACAGCACCATATGCTTAATATCTAACACAGAAAAAATTAACAATGTTCTGATTGTGTTAGAATCTCTCATTCCTGTTGCTCCATCCTGTTACTTGGTATAAAAGGTGTCATGAAAATTCAAAGCCCTTTACTTGGGTTGTGAGCGTTTATTTTTACTCACGGTCGCTTGGTGGGTTTTCAGTAGGGAAGGAGTACCTTGTGACTCTCTTTCTTGAATATCTCATGTTAAAAGCACACATAAATTTCTCATAGCAACAAAGCAAAATCTCATTTTGATATTTCCTTTTACCGCAATACCTGTTTGGCATTAAGAGGAATATTCGGATGGAAGCTTTACCTGCTTGTGACACACAACTTAAGTTAGGGAGGAACTGATAACTTCCACATGGTTGAAAGACTAAAAATATTCATTTCTTTTTTTTTTTTAACCTTCCCAAGATGCCTGTGCTTTTTTTTTTTTTTTTAAGCTTTTGTGATTGGGTAAGAAATAATATTGTTGGTATTTTCTGCCAGGTGTGGAATGGTTATGGAAAGACGAGCTGGGTGTCTTTCCCCAACTGTCTGCAAGATGCTCCTGCATCCCACAGAGTCCATGTTGTGCTGGTTCTCCAGATAATGTGTGCCTTTTTGTTGTGACCCCAACAGAGTCTCTGACAGAAAGAGAGAAAAGAAGTGTTCAGTAGGATCTGCTGCTCGTAGAGGTGCAGTCACTTTTGAGAACTGAACGGGACTGACACATAGCCAACCTCATCCAAACATTATTTAGAAGTGATCAACGCAGCTAAGGAACTTTTCTTTTAAGCTGACTTAAAAGCTGCTCCATTTTCTGTCCACGAAACAAGGTTTTATAGGCAGCATTGGCGAGGAAACAATACGTCAAAGATTGTGGCGTTGGTGTATGAATTTGAGGGAACTTAATTCAATCGAGAACAGTCGTGTTTACAGATTCTTGCCCACTTCTGTTTGTGCATTTTATAAACTGGTGATGTTTTAAGTTCGCACCACTAAAAACAATGTGAATTCATTTCAAGGTCACCCATGGCCTTCTTCTTTGTGAAGCTGTGCATTTCTTAAATTTTATACTGTGTATCATGTTATTTGAATATCATAATATTTATTTAGTGGGGCTGGAGTTTGAAAACAGGGTCTTATGAATTCTAGGAAAGCACTAAATTTGAATATTCTTCAGGCTTATTGTGGAATGACATAGCCCAATAATCATGAGAGAAAACCCTCTATGATGGTGCTGATCACACATTTTTACTACTTGCTGTAATTGGAAAATTTCCTCACAAAACAGCTCCTTTAAAGCAGAAAGATTTTTTAAAGATAAATAAATGCCAATTAACTTGTTATAGATGAGTACACAATAAATTAATTAGCGGCACAATTCCGCACACACATTTATTGGCATAGGAATGTGTACACACATTTATAATCACATGAATTTAATAGCTTTAAATTTATGATGTTAGGACCTGATGCATTTAAAATCAGCACACCACACACCTTTGTAAAGTTTCTTAACAAAGCAGAGAGAAAGATTATCCTAACTTTAATTCATAGCTTCATACTTGGAAATTTTAGTGTATATTTAGCCAAGACTAATTTCTTTTTATAATTTAAAAATTAAGATATCTCCAGGTACCTTCTACTATTTTCATTTATTTTATTAGTTTTGTTTTGTTTTTTTGTTTGTTTGTTTGTTTGTTTGTTTTTGTATGTCAGGGATGATCAAGTAACACATTTTCTTCCTTAAATGTTATGTAGGACAAGACTTGAGACAAGGATCAGTAGTTAAAGCATGTACTGCTCATGCAAAGGACCAGAATTCAATTCCCAGCACCCATGTTGGATAGCTCACAAATGCCTACTCTTCCAGCTTGAGAAGGCTTGTTTTCTCTGGTGTCTGTGGGTACCAGCAAGGAAGTGCACACACCCTCCCACAGGCAGCCTGTTTGATAATAAGGCTTAATAGAAATCTGAACTCTTGTGTAGGTTTTCATGTCTTTACTCTCAAAACTTAGAGATGAGGAGAAAGTGCTACAATTTCCACTATTTTTTTTCCATTGAGAATTTCCTCTGTTGCTTGGGAGAAATTGAATGTGCTTATGCTCTGTTAAACATGATGACATTTTTAGATCAGCAGAAATCTAGGTCAAACTTCTGTAGTCTTCAAAGTATTACCTTTCTTTAAACCAAATGGGAACTGAAGTGTCTCAAAGCAACCCCTGGATCGTTCATTAAGCTGATGAATTCTTAGATCTGTGATACAAATCTGAGGGCATGGCTGTTAGGAAAATGATCAAGGAACCTATTTTCAGCTGGTTTTAGCCTTGATGAAAATACATTCTATCATAGCATTAGATAACATGAGCCATGTTTGTGGATTATTCTTTAAGGTAAGACAGTAATTTCTGTGGAGCCAGTGGAATCAGTAAAGTCATCTATACTTTATGGTATATCTCTGTGCAGAAACCAGGTAGATGTAAAGAAATATCGTCTACATAGCAAAATCTTAACAAAGCAAAATGCTTGTAAGTGACCTTGATTTTGAAGGCCAAATACATATGTTTCATCTTGCAGGTTAGATGGCCAAGTCAATGGATTCACCAAAACTCAACTCAAGGAGTCCACAAGAACCTCTGTCTATTCTTATGAAGCCAGAAACAGCCTCAGGTACTAAAGACAATTATAAAACCAATGACAGAGCTATCCCTGTGTTTATTTGTTTATATGTAAGCTAGCCATTTGTTTTAAAGCATGAAACTTTCTATATGTAAATACTCTTACATGAAATTGTTGAGTCAGCAACTCAATTATTGCCGGGATGCAAATAGAAGAATATAAAATGTGATTGTTGCTTTAATATCTGCAAATATATAAAACATGATTATGACATTAATGTTGACATTCTTTTAAAGATATATTGATTTCATTTTATGTGTATATCTGAGTCTATGTTATGTTCATCACACATCTGCTGGTACCCACAGAATCCAGAAAGCATCAGATCTCTGGAACTGGAAGTATAGGTCACTGGGAGCCACCCAATGTGGGTGCTGGAAACCAAATGTGGGTTCCCTTCAACAGTGCTGTTATCTACTGAGCCATCTCTCCAACCTGGGTATTCACATTTTTGAACAAGATCTTTCTGACTATATCATTAAATCTGAAGTTTGAATAGCCAATTAAAGTTCACTTTTAACTTAAGGTTTATTGGGGAAGTCTATGGCTTAGAAATGAACTGGGCATCAGGGAAATAGATACTAAAATACAATACCTGGACAGTTAAAATGATCTTCATGCTCTAAGACAAATTTACTGAATCATTAGTTTTCACAATAATACCTAAGTAGAACAAGACAGTGGGTGTTAAGAGTTCAATGGGAGAGTTGATTTAGAAGTAATATATATATTTCTTAGAAAGTATACACACACACACACACACACACACACACCTTTTTGCACTGAATTGGAAAATGGTTTTGTTTTTATCAACAAGTGACATTTTAACAGGAAACTAAATGGTTTTATTGTAGCTCCAGTACTGGAAGCAGGGATGCTGGGCCCAGGGACACTGTTGTCTATACAAGGACGTACGTGGAGAGTAGGTAATGCAAAAGTACTTCTGATATTTCCTTTCTTTTTGCAGCTGTGAATGATCTGTGCCATGTAAGGGTGCTACCGTTTCAGGGTGTGTATCTTTCATAGAGAAGATAGTTTCGGAAAATTGCAAGTTCTATGCATATAATATTTATGTTGTTCCCAATATTAAGTAGTCGATAAATGGCTTATAGTCATTGTATATACTCAAAGGAATTTCAGATAACTAATGAATAAGTAAGTAATTTGATTGGTAATCAAATATTGTTACATAAATGTGCGTGACCATTTGGTTTTAACAACCTTTTTAATTTGAATCACCTTAATTCAAAGGCTCCATTTATTATTTACTCCTAATCTTACATGGAAGATATATCTTTAGGTTGACGTATTATGACCCAAATTGCATATTATTGATGTCCTATGAAACTGCCTGCTTGGAATGAAAGATGTCGACAAAAGTGTAACAGAGGACACGGATTCCAACACATTTAGTTTTCAAAGAGTATAAAAAAAAATGAGAATTGGCCTAATTACAGGGTAATGTAATGGGAACTACACAAATGCAGACATATGTGACATGACATGTGTGTTTACTTTAACGAAGCCCAAGACAACAGTCCAGGGACAACTGTGTGCATGGGAACTCCAGGGACAACTCAATACTTCTTTGGGTCAAAGCCATGTGTAGTTTACACACACAGCTTCCAAAATAATTTTTTTCCTTAATTCAATTTTTGCTCTATTTTGGCTTCATAGTAATTCCTACTATCTTATAATTAAACTGAAAGATAAAACATTTGAGAGAAAAATAATAAATAGTTACTGAATCTGAAAGAAGTAGGCACACACATAAATAGCATGACGGTGATATAAAGACAACACACAAAATGTTGGCAAGTAAGATAAAAGAAAAAGGCATTGATTCTATACTTACACGGCACTCTATTTTCACACACTGGTAACCCTACAGAGTCAATGCATTTTGATTTTTAAAATGATATCTCATTGAAACGAAGTCCGACAACTGTGATATCAATTTTTAAGAAACAGTAAATCTCTAGAGTTAGGCATAGTCTACTAAATACTATTTTCCAGATGTTTTTATTTATTGAATAGTTCATTAAACTAAACCACATTTGAATTATTTAGCTCTGTTGGCTATAGTTTGCTTTTGTAGACTACTGTGCATATGTTATTGGAATATCTGTGTTATGTTATTGGAATATCTGTGCATATTGTGTTATTGGAATATATGTGTACAGACAGCAATTCTCAAGTGTGGTTTCTGTGCTGAATTCAACCGTATCACTTCAGACTTGTTTCAAGTGAAAATTACTTGTCCCATCCCAGACCTGAAGAATCACAAAGTATGTCATTGGGGTCCTGGCCATCTGTGTTTTAACAAATTCAACATGCTTTTGATGCAAATGCAGATTTGAAAATTCTAACTATAAAAGATAATACTGTAATATGTTAGACAGATAATATATAGGTTAGAATATTCTGCAAGGATGGCTTTGCTACTGTTTGTTTCTTACCATTACTAAGGTGACAGTGATGTCCCTTTAATATCTCTAGCTTTCTTAAGGTCTACATTGGCGATGGCACAGTATATTGTGAAGTCTCTAGAGTTATGTTCAGGAGTGAGTTATTGTCATTAACATTAACAAACCTGACAGCCTTGGCAAAGGTGCTTGAGTGTGTGTGTGTTAGTATTTTAATTTAATTAATATTTTACTTAAATTATTTAATTGGTTAATTTTCACAATTCTGAGAATTAAATTTAGTGCCTTACACACACCAAGAATTTTTTTATACCACTAAACCATCTCCCCAGCGACCCTATTTGATTTTTGTTTTGAGACAGGATATGTCCAGTTTGCCAGGTTGGCCTTGAGCACATTCTTTAGCCTAGGCATGTCTTGAACTTGTGATCTTCCTGCCTCATCTTCCGAAGCAGGTGGGGCTACAGACCTGTGCCTCTAGGCTAGTGGGCTTTACTTTAGTAAATAAGTGAAAGAAAAATATTAAGTATTTGAAAAAACAATGATGTCTTTGTTGCTTACACTTAGATTTAGACTGCCCCAACCTGTTCTGATGTTTTGTTTGTTTGTTTGACTTGCTGGGACTTTTGCATTATGTCTTCTACAGATTAAATAATGAAAGGTATAAAGACATCATCTGTGTTTGCAATATTACAAATAATATAATGTGTGAAGGATTACATGTTTTCTTACCTATGTGGGGGCAATACTAGGGAAAATGTCCTGACTCTCTCATGTCCCTATATGTTTTTAGTAAATCACCAAAGGATGGATATCAGGAAAATATCTCAGGAAAATATATACAAACTGTTTATTCAACTTCAGATAGGTAAGTATGCTTATATTTCCATTACGGACACAAAGTGTATATATGCATATATACATATATATATATACACATAAACCTATACACACTTTCATGTGCACATACACATATGTATATTTTTCTTTGTCCTTTATTATAGAGATGATTTTGATAGGTGACAGGTAGAAAACTGTTAGGAAAATACATGATGAGACCACAGTACAGTTCTGCATTCAGGAACCTGCTTCCCAGCTGCTGTGTGGCTTTCATGGACATTATTCTGGAAGTCCTTTCCATGCCTTCTGAATTTCTTCTCTGGTCAGACCTGTTCCTGCTGGTGATTCCCATGAGCCCCCTGCCTGCAACATTATAATCACATAGGCTTTATGTCTCACTAGAATGTCCCCAACCCTTGTCCCTTGTTGCTTTCCAAAGGCAGCTGCATGGATCTCCTCGTCCAACACATGGACTCAGCTCAGTTCCTAGAAGGGCTAGGATGAGCACACATGTAATGCTGGATGGAGAACTGGCCCCATTCCAGGCTTTTTCTTCCGGGGATCCTCCTTACTGCGTCACATTCCGTGGGGCCTCTAGGTGATACTCAGGGAGGGTGGCTTGCAGATGCAAGTGGAAATCATTAGTGTTTCACCCCAACTTCTAGAAACAGGCCATGACACAAGAACCCACTTTTCTGCTGTTACGGTGTCTCTAGCAAGGGCTGGAAACATAACTATCTGGAGTAAGGACATAACTTACTCCAGCTTAGAATGTAAGTTTCTAATGCAGTCCTCAGCAGCTAGCGGGCATACAGTAAGCGATTCCTGAAAATGTGAACTGACATCCCATTTGCTAAGGGAAATAAGGAGAGCAGCCATTTCTCTGATGGCATCCCACATCCGTGGCCTCCTCAGTGAAAAGAACATCTTGTTGGAAGAGGCAATTTCTTCTTTCTTTGTGTCTCTGGCCTTTTGTCAGTGCTGATGGAATGAGATGATGATGTAGAGGCACTATTTTCTGCTTTTGATGTGCTTGTAGTCTTAAATGGGAAGATATATATATATATATATACATATATATGTGTGTGTGTGTATATATATATACATATATATATATGCACATATGAACATATGGACAATTCACAGGAACATATTTGCCAGGCATGTATATGCAAGTGATCATAGAATAAATTAAAAATTGCAAACATGTATCAAGATATATAAACAACTATGCAATTTGCACATATAGATGAATCATTATGTAATCTACATATACGTAAATCTTCATATATTTATATCTATGTATGTAGTGATTAGGATGATGCAATCGGAATGACTGAAAGTGTAAAACCAGACACGTTTTTAATCAACTCTTACTGCATTTCCTCTCACTTTCTCCTTCCCTCAATTCCCCTTTTCTCTGCTGGCTCTTTTGGAACTGTTGGTACTGAAGGGTGGCGCTAGGCAGGACTAACTCTTTTCAGCTCTGGGGGTGAGAAGGCCTCACAGGCAGGTGAAGGGCGGGCTCGATCACACTGCTTCCTTCCGTTCAGGTCTGCATCTCTGTTTTCTTCCTATAAAGTAATGGAGATGATAACAATCCCAACTTCTCAGGATGAAAGGAATTTCTTAAAGAAAAGTGTAGTGAGATAGTCCTTCTGTAGCACTGACCACGCCCATTGGGGGTGGAGCCATGGGCGGAAGTGACCTGTGGAAGGAGGTCGGAGGGGGCCAGGAAAGGCGCTCTTTTGCTGGCATGACTTGGACAGGAGAGGATTGGGTTGAATTTCCTGGTGTTCATCTGTCTAGGTTGTAAGTTATTTCTCCCTGAATAAACATCTATTCGGCCTATTTGTTTATCCTGATCCTTATTTACCGCAATAGAAAAGCATATGGGGAGATGCTACATGAGTATTGTACTATACATGTATTACATTCATGTACTGTCAGAGTCATCAGGACAGTTCTGTCAGTGTCATGATAAGAGTTAGGACACAGGGATGCAGATCATGACAGTAGCCCCAAACCAATAAAGTCTATGGAAGCTGGTCAAGACAACTTTAAGTCCTTTCAAAAGGAAAAGGATCTTTATTTAAGGTTCTGTCACAATTTAGTTTTTTTTTTTTTTTTTTTACTGTGTTGATCATGTATAGTTCACTTATAGTTGAATATTAAGTTTCTAAAATAGGCAAGGAAAACTACCTTTTCTCTCATCTAATTTGTGGCAGGGTCATGGCTTCCTTTAGAGAATAAATTAATTTAGTCATCATCTACATCCCTGTATCCTGCCTCACCATGGTACCAAGAACATGTTCAGATGACCCTGACTCTATAGACTCATCATGTATGAGTTCATAAACACATTCCAGAATGGATTTCTATTTGGGGCCTACTGAATGCTTTAGTGAAATTTGCATTAATCGGCCACACAATCTCCCTCCGCAGTGTATGAAGTAATATGTGTAAATTAGTTAAAATGATCTTCTAGCTTCACGGAATGCCTTTGTTCTAGCTCAGTTGGGAACTGAGCATCTTTTTCTGCCCAGATATGCTCTTGATTGCTGGTAAATTAATAACCCGAGCCTTTTCCCTTGTGCAGTTTCCTTGACATCATTATAGAATTAGTCCTATCATGAGGGTAAGTAAACAGCATGTTTTGGGATGTTAGTGTGATTGCTAAAGCTCCATCAGGATCAACACATTCCCACGCGATTTTACAGGGGATATGCCTGTTCCTACCTGATGGCACTTTTAAATTGTTTTTAATTCTTATGTCACTACAGGTCTGTCATTGAAAGAGACATGTGCACTTACTGCCGCAAGCCCTTGGGGGTGGAAACCAAGATGATTTTAGATGAGTTACAGATCTGCTGCCATTCCACTTGCTTTAAGGTAAACACATACTTATTTCACGTTACTAAGTGTAAGGCTGCACGACCACAAGAAAAAAATATGCATTCATATTGAAATGTTTAGCATGAAGCTAAAGCTTTAAACACTCTATAACCCACATTAATAATATGCTACCTAAGTATTTCTTTGTGCTCTACAGTTTCACCCTCAAAGGCCTGTAATCACTACCTTGGCTTTCGGCTTAGAATTCATTTCCTCACACGTCCCTTAGCCAGGAAACTTAAGTCTCTGGAAAAGAAGAATAGTTGTTCATTCCTAAGTTTCTGTACCATTTATTTGAACAAACAATGTACTGCAGCAAATATGCAACAACAACACCAGTCATGGAAAACAGACTGTTGAGTATAAAGCTAGCAGCTCTTTTGTCATGAGCTCGGACTCAGGCTTCACAATGCTTTAAACTCAGTCTGCTGTTAAGACTGTGGTTAATTGTGGCTTAATCAGGAACAGAGATGTACAATAGCAAATGTGTCCAAGTTTGGTTTTATTCAGCTCTTTCTTCTTACTTTTTCAATGGTGTGTGTTGGTCACATACCTCTCAGTGCAATTGACTGGGTATCTGAAGACCTCAATTCTGGCTCTGTCTCTCACTTTGGTCCATGTGGCTTTGGGCAATCATTTAAATGACAATGGCCATGATTTCCTTACCTGTAAAATAGATCATTGAGTAAGCTGTGATTCTCAATACTGGTTATTGTTATATGGATTGATTAAGGGGGAAAAAAACTTGGAATACTCAGACAGAAAATTTAAGATTTCATAGTATTTTTGGACACTGGTAGTTTTTAAAACTCCTTAGAATTCTCTAATATACATCCATTTTGAAAATTCCTTGCCTAAGTCTGGGTCCTTCCTAGTGATGGACCTATGAAGACCCATCTAGTGATGGACTTATGATGGATTCTACAGCTAATGAAAATTATTTCCTTTATCCAGATAGATCTACTTTGTTTGTTGATTGCTTGGTCATCATCAATTACCTAGCAATCAGAAATATGGTACATTATTTTGAATACAAAGCTAGCAAGACAGCTTAGTGTGTATACTAACTGTCAGCCAGTCTGAGGACCTGAGCTTGATTCTTAGAACCCACATCTTGTAAGGAAGAAAACTAATTTCCACAAAGTTCTCCTCTGACCTCTCCTCTTGTGTCTCATGGCACATAAAAAAATATAAAAAAAATAACAAGCTAAACCACAACTCAATATAGCATGATAAAAATATAGTCTGTAAATGAAACAAACATTTGATTATAACAGGAAAGTATTTCTAGCTTCAAAATATACTCTATTAAAATCTTCTAAAATGAGAAATTCTCCTGGTTATTTCTTTAGTAAATAGGAATAACTTTCATTTATTATATTTTAAGTGATTCATTTAAATTTTAAGCATTAGGGACTATGTATGACAGAACAAAAATGTTCCTCATGCTCATAGAAAAAGACAAACTGTTCTATAGCCATGGTAACAGAGAATCACTTAAACTAGTTTAAATGTTTAATAAACCTATCAAAGGCAATTTGCTCTAGTGAATTCTTCTTGAAAGCCAACCAGTAACTCATATTTGGAAGTTGGCCAATCAGCAGCAGATGAGTCTTGAAAAAAAGAGAGAGAGAAAAAAAAATGAGGCTAATCCTTTCCATAACACCTCACCCCACCCCTGTATGATCAGCAGTTTGTTTGGTTGAACAGGTTGTGCCTGAATCACATAGCTCTCCCTTGTAGAAGCAAAGGATAGACACAAATCTGTATTTTTGTTTGAGACATTGGACGGTTATCCTGTCCTTGGCATAGCCAAATTGTGGAAAATGCTGTCTGTTCCATTGTGAGTTGTGCAGGGTAAAGACTCCCTGAGCTGCATCTGCGCAGAAGGATGCTGTTGAGATGTATTTGAGAAGTCTGGCATGTGATGATAGGCAAGCGCCCTCAGTCTCCCCGTGGCCTCTCTCCAGGGCTGTCTGTGACTTCTTCCTCAGGAGGGTGGCCTTACAAGACTGAAAGGTTTTCCTGTCCTCACGTGCTTGAGGGTACATTCTTAGTCTATAATATAAACCCAATCTACTGTTTTCTTCAGTGTGAAATATGCAAACAGCCTTTGGAAAATCTACAAGCAGGTGACAGTATCTGGATTTATAGACAGACTATACATTGTGAACCTTGCTACTCTAAAGTGATGGGTAAGTGTCATACTCTGTGAGCAGCAGTCATTCTCACTAACACTGCTGACTATTTAGTGTTGATAAATATAAACATTCCAGGAAAAGTCAATACTTTATGAAACATAGCTAATAAAGAGGGAGCTACAGACAGTTAAACTGTGGCAGTATTTTGTCTAATGACATACATGAGTCAATGCTTATACTATTCTTTTTGTATTATCAGGGTGCATTGTAAACAAAGAGGCCATTCATTTAAATTTTTTTCCAGTTTGAAGCAGAAATTACTTTTGCTGATTAAATGACTGTTTAAGTTGAATCGTTTCTGTGGATGCCCATTTGCACTTGGACTTGGAAGTATATTTAAATATAGTCTGGTAATTCCAACCAATGACTTTTAATGTTACTTTTACCTGAAATAGTTAATTCTATGTAATTCTATGTTAAATATAGCATTTTAACAATGCAAGCACAAATGTTACTATAATTTGGACTCTTAATTAGCTTCAGTGAGGAGAAAGCAAGATGTTATGGGCATGCATTTTTAACTAAGCATGAGAAATTTAAGTGCTGATTTAAAACACGTGCAGAATATGTCAGGAAAATAAGGTTCTGTATTATTTAATTGATTGTTACAAGAGAGTACATTAAATTTATTTTTACATTCAATAGTAAGTAGAACAAGGGAAACAAATTGCTGTTGAGGGTAAGATCCATAGTTGTCCACAGTTACAATGTTAAAGGGCCTTTGTTCCTGCCTATTTTGGTGTAGTGAATGACTATTTGGGACTCCTACAAGGGATCAAAGGCACAGAAGTGAATCACAAATACATGAGCTTTAATGAGCTACTGGGTATCTACATCTGGGAAAATATTCAGAGACCCACATTTTATTGGGCTTCAGAATCAATTGAAAGAATAACCTTGATTACGTTTATGCTCTGCCTTCCTCTGTCTGCTTTCTCTGGATTCCTCATACCCACTTTTCTTTCTAGTTCTGCAGTCCTAACCAGTCTATGCTGACTCTTGGTGGGTTTGGGGTAACTCCAAATCTTGAGAGTCCCTGATGTGATGTAAGGGGTTTGGTGAACAAGGATTCAGCAGTGAGCATGTCTTCCTCTCTGCCCATGTACACTCCAGAGTAATGTTTTCTTTAAAAGAGCATACTCATAGCTGTGATCCTCACTCATTTATTAAACACCCCGTGTGTGGCTCTGCATGAGTGACCAAAGCCAGAGTGCGGAACTCAGGACCCGAGGGATGGGATGATGTACCGGTTGATCCAGTAGGGTCCCCTGGGAGGATGACTGGTTCTTTTCAAATTTTAATTGTGCCTTTATTTTCATCTTGATTTATGTGTCTAACTTTGCTTTTAAATTTTCAGCAAAGTGGATTCAGCAGCACTGATATGTGGAAATGGAGATGAGAAACCTTCGTCAAGGAATTTAAAGCTACGATTTAAGAACATATAATCCAGAAAAGATTTACATTGAAGATTACCTCCTGTATCAAAATAACAATTTTGTTATTGAACAAATAATCTAACTAGTTCGAATAAGGTCGCACGCATGAAAAGAACCATCTGGTATCTGGCAAGATTTAGTGATAAATACTCACATAGTTCTAGTTACCAAAGACAATGACAGTGAGCATTGTCAACCCTGAACAGGCCCCATTCCTGCTTGCCTGCCCATCGTGTTTTCCATTATAGCCAAGCTTCCTATCTTCTTGCCTGTACTTCCCCTAATAGTTTGTATTAGGGCATTATTGACACCCTGACAAATGGGCTGATAGAAGCAAGATATACTTCTCCTTTTTTCTAGAAAAGAAAATGCACATAGAAATTTTCTTATGAAGTTTTTCAGCAAGGTCAATGTGACAAGTTGTTTGGATCTTAGAAAATCACTTAAAGTTTCCAGACTTCTTCAGTGACTTCCCGGTGACACCACAGGCATTAGACAAAATGATTTCTAAGGTCCCCTTTGCTTTTCCAGTTGTCTGAGTCTAAAAGAAATTTGAGTTTGCTGTTTAGAAACATATTGGTATATTTGTTTATTGGGACATAAATAATTTCACCTGTGTCATCCTTCAGTTTATCACTGGCATATCTTTAATAGACTACGCTTAAAACTGAAATTAATAGCTTTGTGGGTGATAGGTAAAGTCATATGATGTGTAACTTGTTAAGCTTCCTTTGCATGCATTTCAAAATCTGGGTGTACAAATAATCTGAGAAGTAATAGCTATGGGTTACAAACATGTTATATGTGTTTATGTTACAGTTTATGTTTACAGAAGGCTCACAACAATAAAATGAGTTTCCCTAATGTTTGAATATCATTCACTAACGATTTTGGTCAATTATACTGATCACAAGTTGTATTTCATGCTATGAGAATTAGCTTATTTTTAACTGCTTAAAACAGTTTTTCTTTTGAAAGAATTCTCTTTTTTGGAGTTGGAAATTCAATAATCATACAAGGAATCATTATTATTGCTAGCATAGGAAGATTAAACATATAAAGTATTTTATAGGCACATAGCAACTATTTCTTGAGGGAAGAGTGACTGGGATTTCCTGGTACATACATTCTAGGGCACTGGTACACAGTTGTGAGAAAACTCGGGAAATTAAAAGATGACTGCATGATTTGCAAATAGTGACAAATTCAAATAATTATTCTCCTGTGTAATAATTTTATGCATCTGTTCCTCTTAGACCCTGGCCCACAAAGTGTTAAAAGCAAAATGCTTATCAAAATTCAGCAATGTATAATGGTCCTATGGGGAGGGAGCCAGAAAAAACAATTAATAATAATTTGATATTCATTAATTCACGCTTGATGAGAAGCAGTGGTAATTGAGCCATATGTTTTATTGTTCCTTTATTACATGCTATCAGAGTGGATCAAAAGAAATAATTTTCTTAGAGTTGAAATTGACTGCAGAAAGCAAGGATTAAATTGCCCCCGTCTGTTTTATAAAGTACATTAACATCTCAATGCCTTTGTAGCAATTAAAAATCATCTGAACATCATTCACAAATATAAAAATCTGAAGAGAACACATTTCTCACTTTTCTGTAGCAGGTTTATGGACACTTTCTTGTACAATAATGTATTAGACCAAGCCAAAAGCTGTTGGAAAAACAGAATATACACTTACCATTGAGACAAAGCTTCCTGATTCATTAAGACTGCTTCATTATGTCTGAGGGTTTTCCCACTATTGAAATGGCAGGTCCTTTTAACGATTTGGAAGATTCCATTATTTTTGTCATCAATTAATCATGATATGATTGGCATACTGCTCCTGGACAGGAATTACCAAATCACCAATAACAGGTTCTGAATTCTGATTGTAAATTTTTTTAAAGTTTCCATAAGAGAAATAATAGTTCTGTCAAGATAGTTTCCTTATGTGTGCATGTGTGATGTATGTAAAACTACATATATATGTACATATGTGTGGAGGTTGACGTTGGATACTGTGTGCCAGTTACCTCCCTCCACCTTTGGAGTCATGGTCTCTCATTGAACCTGGAGTTCACTGATTCTTGTTAGCCAAGCAGTCACCCTCAAATGTTCCCAGCTCTGCTTCCCAGCACTGTATTACAGGCACAAACCACCATGCCTAGATTTTACACAAATGCTGGGGATGACTTGGAGTCTCATCCCTGTGAGGCAAACACTACCGTCATTCTTTCGTTCTGCAACTAAACCCCTCAAAGTGACAAAGCCCTCCCCTCAAACCCACAATGGTACCTTTTATAAAAGCCAAATAAAAGAAATCCCATCATTTCAGAAACGGACTTTGTTAAAGAAGCGTGCACTTTTAAAGGAAGGACAAAAAGACAAATTGACTCAAGAACGAATACATCCTTAATTACTTGACTGTAGTCACTCATCTAATTGATTCTGAGTGACAAGATTGTCCAGCTCCCACTTGCTGATTTGTTTACCATGATGGAAAGTTGTGAGCATTTAGAACAAGGTTCTGCTCATCTGGATTCAGAGCTCTCTCAAGTGATTTATCTACATTGTAACAGGCTAATGATGAGAGTGGCTTGTTGCCAGTGGAATTATGTGGTACAATGTAAATAAGTTGATTTGTAGAGTTCTACCTATTTCATAGTAGTCAGGAGTTCCCCCAGAGGTACCTGTAAATATCCTCCTTAAATGGGGTAGGCTACACTCCCAGGTCTCAATGCCTTCCTGTTTGTCATGCAGCTTTAGAATATTGGCTGTCTAATGTACTGCAAGCTCAGATGTTGAGATTACAGTCTGCCTCAACTGCTCACCTTCTTTGCATATGACCTATTTTGGGACACACCTGTGGATCACTGAATGTTTTGTTTGTATTTAGATTTTTATTTTTTATTTTTTCTTGAAACAGGTTTTCTCTGTGTAGCTCTGTAGACCAGGCTGGCCTTGAACTCAAAGAGATCCACCTGCCTCTGCCTCCCGAGTGCTGGGATTAAAGGCGTGTGCCACAAACACCTGGCTTGTACTTAGAATTTTATTTGAATTATTCACAACCCAAAACTTGTGCACTAGCTAGGGTGGTGTCACGGGTGTGTACCAGCTACTAGGGTGGTGTCATAGGTGTTCAATGCCAGCACGTGTGAAGTTGGGCGAAGGATGTTAATTTCAAAGCCAACCTGGGTAACATAGCAGGACTCTTTCTCAAGAGAAAAAACAATAGAGCAGGCATTATTCATTGGCTCTTTGATCTGGCATTTGACAAGTGTGGCTTCTGGAAAATGGTTCTGCGGTAGTAAAGTATGCAAGGTAAGGAATGATTTCTTTTCAATTCATAAAAAAGAGTTCATGGTTTATAATCTACATTCATTCATTCAGCGATCTATCCATCCATCCATCCATTCAATTACTAAACAACTCTGACAGTCTAGATTGTATCGAGGAGACATGGACAAACACTTATTCTGCCTGGCACTGACTCCTAGGGTGAAATCTGGGGCCGTAGTAACCTTAACAAGTCAGGACCACCCATATAGCTCACCTGGCCAATTAAACAGCAGTGGATTGGTGAGATGTAGAAGATGTTTTCGATGTGACTCTTCTGGGAAGAGGAACAGGTGAAGATACCTAGTAATGCCCCTAGTAACGCCCGTCGCCCAAGTCCATCTTCCCCCAGTCTGTCCTAACAAAGTGCTCAGATGGGTTGCCAACACTCTGAAATCTCTTCTCAGAAGCCAGATTAGTCTTATGGTTGACATCAGGCTTTTTAGCATTTTTCTTCTTCCAGATGAGATTCCTGAGGGAAATAGAAACTTCTAGGGTCCATTGTTTCACCAGTCTGACAGGTCAAGGGAGGAACACAAGCATCCCTCTTGAGAAGGTCTTGCCAGGAATGTTACACCCCCAGACAGGGCACCAGTCCCTCCCCAGGCCAGTTTCATGGACCAATGAGGATTTTGGTTACTTTTAGAAATATGACAACTCAATGGCAGCTGTGTCCCTGAGAAGTCCACCCAGTGTGGACTTCTAAAGCTACCTCCTGAAACCTCTGCAGGACTTCAGACACTGGGCTGACTGGAGAGCCCCGTCCCCTGCGACTATTTACTGTTGTAGAAACTTGGAGAGGCCTCTAGTGATTTTGTAACTTCCCGAGCCTACCCATAATTCTCAGCTTTGGTTGGAAGAAATGGCTACTCAAGAGCCCCATTGCTGAACAGAACAGCCAAAGTCCTTGACCTCATTGAAGGGAACTTACATTCTACAGGGGGAAGGGGTGTGAAGGAGCCATTTGAAAGAGAGCGGATGGGGAAGCAGTAATAACCCATGCAAGAAACGAAGCATGCTGATGTTGTGAATGGGACCGTTTGGGACATAATATGGTGGGAGGGGGAGGGGTTATTTCAAATGTGACTAAGATTCTAGGCAGGAACCGGCCTGGAAACAGCTCAGGTGAGGAGCTGTCTTAGATTTGGCAGTGGTCAGACTATATTCTAGGTGAGTTTAACTTTCATTATTTTCAACACAATGAGATGGAAATTCAAATGCCAAGAGACAGGGAGGTCAGAAGATTCTGGTTTTTTTTAGTTCCCATATAAAGCAATATTCAGCTAGGACTCAGGCCAGCTCTGTGTCCTCTGCTAAGAACAATTGGTTCTGAGCCCAAGGACGAAATTTCTCACTAGGCAGATCAGCCCACAGCAAGGGTGAGGTACTGCCAGATGACTGGCAAGTGTGACATGGACACCACCTGCAGTGGAAAGAAAAACGTGCCGTCCCTCACCTCACTCGAGGCACCAAGTGCCTTTCTTATCTCTTATGGTTTCTCAAGTGAAAACGTTAACCAGAGAAGCAGTATTCTTTCTAAATGAGGAGAGACTCCCTGCTGGAATTTTATCAACGGTGCATGTTCTTTTCTCCTTTTGCAACATGAAATCATATCTGGTAAGAAAAAAGCATTTAGAACTTGATATACCCCTCCTGACAGTTTGTTAATTTTACATGTTTTCCCAAGAGAAATGGAAACATCTCTAGTGTCAGGGTCTTTTGGGCCCTGAATGATAGGATAAGGCATTGGCAGTGCCCACTGCCACAGATGTCAATAAAGATCCCTAAATGTGTTGCAGTTTTGTGTTTCGACTTGGCATTTATGCCCTTTCAAATTGTGCCATTGCAATGTTCATTGCATTTATGAGCAGAGTCCAACATGCCGAGACAAATATGGCCAACTAACATGCGTTCACACATTTTACAAAGGTTCAGAGACTAACCATGTAAAACTGGAAGACTGTAAAACCTGTAGGAGAAAACCCAAACTTAAACTTGATGGAGTTTTAGATAGAACACTAGGAACCATTATTTACAGAGCAAAAATTAATGATCTGGAACAGATTAAAATAAAATAAAAACCCGCCGCGTAAAAGAAACTGCTAAGAGAATGAAAAGATAAGCAACAGATAGTGAGAAAATATCTTCAAAACGCTCGTCCATTAAGGAACTTGTCCCCAATGTGGCCAAATAGTTCTCAAAACACAATAAAAACCTTCAGTAAAAGCAGACAAAAGGTCTGTCCAGATATTTTGCAAAAGAAGATGCATAAAGGTAAAAGGCTTATGAAAGGTGCTTGGTATTGTTTGTCGTTAGGGAAGTGCGGCTCACTGGTGAGCTACCACCACCCTGAGAGGAAGACATCAGCTAACTCATGTCTGTATCTTCCGGAAGTCCTCCCGCCTTCTTCCTGCCTCCGCGTCCTAACCGTGGACTATGTCCTTCTCGTCATCACACCTCCTGCGGGTCTTCTTGCTTGTGATAGTTTCTTCCGCTCTGCTGGTTTTGATGACCTTGTACTC